TCCGTCGCTTTTCTTCTGCTGTTGGTTTTCCAATATTGTTCCTTTTGGTTCCTTCATCGAACAGTAAAGGGACTACACAAGTTTTCCCGTATGGTTCCTTCAGTCGTTATTCCTTTAACCACTGTTTCTTCAGCCGCTATTCTCCAACCGTTGTTGCTTTTGCCATATGGTTTCTCTTAACTTTATTATGTTTGGTTGTTTTTGCTGCTATGTTGGCAACTCGGGAGGTCTTCCAGCCACTGATTGATTCCAGCCATTAATTCCAGGTCACCCTCCAGACCTTGGTGCCGCTGCTTCCAGCTGCTGATCTCAGGAGGTCTTCCAGCCGGCCCATGTATTCCTGGTGTCGCTGATCCTCCCTCTAGGTTTCAGAAGTCGTAGTCTTCTCCTGTCCACAGGATCTTCAATTCTAGCTGTCGCAGGTCCCTTGGTGCCTCTGTTCGAGTGTAGTTGCCGACTTTCCTACTATAGATTCAACCAACTGGCCGCCGGTCTCCTCTGCCCATGCTGTCGTTGATTTTGCAGGAAGGAGTCCTGCAGTTGTGCAACGCCTGTCTTTTCTGCAGTTGTATCCATTTGTCGTGATCCTACCGAAATTCATCGATGACTCGTACCCTCAAACCTAACCACACTTGGGATAAGTGTTGGAAACTTCACGGTGATTCGTTATACAAACCTTCAGACAATCCTCTGCTACCAAGGGTCTCAAGATGACGACCGAACCTACCACAGCTCAACCGATTCCTACTCGAAACTTCCTGGAATCCTCTGAACCTATGAAAATCAGATGAAGCAATTGATCAAGCTTTTTGGAGCCCATCAAGTCTCTACGGATCCTTCGACCTCCCACGTCCGCATAGTACTCTTCATTTGTCTTTCACAGCTTTTTCCGCCTCTAGTCCATGGATTATGTGCCACGGATCACATGACTGGATGCTCACAAGTTTTCTCGACTTACTATCCGTGCTCTAGAATAATATCGTCAAAATTGTCGATGATTTTTCGAGTTCTATTACTGTTAAAGGGTCAATTGTACTAACAACAGATCTAACTCTGGAGTATTTTACATGTTCCTCAATTGCAATGCAACCTGTTATCTTGTCAGCAAGTTTACGAATGATATTGATTGCGTTGTTAATTTCATTTTTGATATTTGTATTTTTCAGGATCGTCTTTTGGGGAAGATGATTTGAACTTCTAAGAGGATAGTCGCACTCTACAACTTTCAATAAAATAACGTGAAGAGTAAGGACATACCTCTCAAGAGTTGTAGCTTATTTCGAGTCATTAAATATCTCATTATGTTGTTAAATTATCGTTTCGCTCATCATAGTTTTCATTATTTAAAAATTTATATTCGTGCATATTTTCTAATAAAAGCATATCTAATTTCAATTGTGAGACATGTGAGTTAGCCAAACATCATCGAGTCAATTACTCACCGCACATTTACACATCTTCCACTCCATTCTCTCTCATTCACAATAACTTATGGGGACCCTCTCGCACTCCCAGTTACACCAATAAATTGTAGTTCCTGACTTTGATTAATGATCATACTCGAGTGATGTGTGTTTACATTTTAAAAGACAAGACGGAGGTTGCTGCACCTTCAAAAACATCTACACCTTCATTTTAACTCAATTCAAAACTCTTATTATGTTCTTTCAAACCGACAATGGCCTTGAGTTTTTTAACTTTATTTTTGGTGAATTCTTGGTAAGTAAGAGAATCCTCAACCATAGCTCGTGTACGAACACTCTTTAACAAAGTAGGTTAGTCAAGCGAAAAACCGTCACATTCTTGACATTGCTCACTCCATTATGTTTCAATCCAATGTCTCAAACGGTTTTGAAACGATGTCATTCTCACTGTCACTTATCTCATAAATAGAGTCCCTTATAAAATTCACAAGTTCCAAACCCGTAGCTGTCCTGATGTCTTGCTTCCCTGTTAATCGGATTTTCTCCACTTGTGCATTGATCCTACCACTAACAAATTTATGTGAGTGTTGATGTCTTCTTCTTTGAAAGTGTTCTATATTTTCCTAGCTCGACACAAAGTGAGGGGGAGCTTTGGTTCTTAGACACCGTCATTTATCCTACTTCGATGTATGTTTCCCCCAGTGTTCCTACAACTTAGGAGCCTCCTATTTCGATAAGTGTACCATCCGGTGAGTCCCCTGATTCAGTAAGTGAGTCATCTCATCCTCCCACTATCTGTGCCTACACTCGGCGCACCTCTTTCAATGCTCCTACTCTGGAAACCCGCTACTTCCTTACAGACTTTAACTCCACTCCGGGTGACATCCTCAGCACAACCCCTTCTCCGAATGAGGAGGCGAGTTCTCTTAGTAAGATATGCAATCATATATGCTCCCTCTATTCTATGACAAATTATGTTTTATTCCGCAGTTTATCGCCGATCTACAGAACATTTGTTACTGCCCTAACAGACCATTTGATTCCTACTGCTATTGAGGTTGCCCTTGCTGATTTATTCTGGAAAACGACAGTAATGGAGGAGATGAATGTCCTTCAGCGGACAAATATGTGGGACGTCGCTAATCTTCCTTAGGGTAAGAAAGCTGTGGGATGCCGATGGATTTTTAGCATCAATTTCAACTCTGATGGGTCCTTTAAACGCAACAAAGCATTTTTTATTGTCAAAGGATACTCACGGACCTACGGAGTTGACTATAAGGAGACATTTGCTCCAGCGGCCAAGATTAACACCATTCTGGTCTTGTTGTCCCTTGCGATAAATTTGGATTGGTCTTTATTCCAGCTAGATATCAAGAATGCATTTTTGAATGTAGAGCTTACAAAAGGGTTATACATGTCTCTCCCTCCGGCTTTGACTATTTTTTTTCAAAGGGCAAGTGTGCAGGCTACGAAAGTCTTTCTATGGGCTAAAACAGTCCCCAATTGTATGGTTCGACAAGTTCACAAATATGATTGTGGGTTATGCTTTTACTCGGGCTTAATCAAACCACACTCTCTTTTTCCGACATTCTTCCAATGGCTAGGTAACTATCCATATTGTCTATGTTGACGATATTATTCTTGCTGGTAATGATCTTCCTACACTTGAGTCCTTGAAAGACATTTTTGTTAAGTCGTTTAAAATGAAGGATTTGAGATCTCTTCAGTACTTTTTAGGCATGAAAATGTCTCGATCATCTCAGGGCATTTGCCTATCTCAGTGCAAATATGTGGTTGATCTCTTGAAATAGAACAATATTCTTCTACCATGGTTGTTCTTATGGATCCCAATGAAAAATTATTTGACATTCCCAATGTTGTGCCTGTCAACAAGACTCACTATCAGCGTCTTGTGGGGAAACTCATCTACCTCGCCCATACTCGCCTTGACATGTCACGTTGTTGGTATAATAAGTTAATTCTTGTATGACCCCTAAGAGCACCATCTCCAAGTTTTTCATCGAATACTCCACTATTTAAAAGTTCATGAGCTTAGGTTTGTTTTTCTCTCGTCACACCTCACTGTCTGTTGTTGTTTATACAGATGCTGATAATGCTTGGTCAATTCATGATCGATGTTCCACCTCGGTGTATTGCTAATTTATACGGGAAAATTTTGTTACGTGGAAAATCAAAAAACAATATGTGGTTGCTCGGAGCAGTGCTGAAGCTGAATTCTGATCCATGTACTTCGGGATCTGTGAAGCCCCTGGTTACGCATCATGCTCCGTGAACCTCGAATGCAAACCTCCATCCCGCTAAAATTTTTTTGTGATAATAATGCCGTCATTTGCATTGCTCATAATCCAGTCCAGTATGATTGTACCAAACAAGTGGAGATTGACAGACACTTTATTAAGGAAAAAATTGAGTCCGGGAAAATTTGTGTTACTTTTGTGCCCTTCAATGGCCAACTAGCAGATATCTTGACCAAGAATCCTTTTCGTCATTTGTTCGATGACTTCAAATTCAAGTTGAACATGATTTACATCTTTGCTTCAATTTGAGGGGAGTATTAAATTTATTAGATTTATTGGCTTTTCATAGCCGTTATTATTTATTAGTTACCCTTATTTTGCATTTTGTGGTTTCCTTTTTATCATTATTCGAATTTTATTTCTTTGATTGTATTTTTATTTTTTTCTTTATTTGAGTCCATTGTAAGGGTTTTAATATCAATTAGATTTATGCTGCCCTCGTGAACTTTTTATTTGCAGTTCTTCAAATTTTGATTTATTTTTGGTTCTAAAAATGCACTGTGTTTTGTAAATGTATTTGAAAAACCTGGAATTTCTTTAAGTCTGAATCGGTATTTTTCGTCCAAATTAGAGGATCTTGTTATCTATTGTTTTCTATTTACTTAAATTATTATAAATAATTGCATTCAAGCTCTATCATCTCTTGAATCCTCTTGAACTTTCTTCTTTGCAATCACTGCTCACCAATCTTTACTAGTTAATAGTTCATTTGTGGCAGTTTTTTCATGATTTTGCTTTCCAGATAACTATCATTATATGATTTTCTCGCTATCTAAGCTATGTTGACTGTAAGAGGCTACTATCGACATTTTCAGAGGAGAAAGAGGCTAATAGTATACGTCTATACCCATAATAACTTTAAAAAAAAATTGATTTTCCCACAATGTTCATACAAATACATTTATTTACAGCAGCAGTAGCCCAGAAATGGGCCCTTATACTTCAATGTTGTGTTTCGCATAGATTCACATGCATTTGAATACAAGAAGAAGGCAATAATTTGTCTGATCTCTTTTGAAAATTTACTAGTTAGTAAAAGTAAATAACTGCTAGAGCGACTTTAAGTGGTGTATTGGCGAGGACTATTGTGCTAATAAGCTAATGAAGCCAATCTTTTAGTGTTGTTTTCACATGTTCTTTGGAGTCTTTTCTTTTTTCTTTTTCTATTTTTGGTACACCTTAATTTTTTGCATGCAGATGGTTTTCTGTTACGTTTAAATGCTCTCATTCTCATCTGGATATTTGGAGTTTGGAGCAGATATTTATCTCTGAGCAGAAGCTTTACTCTAGATCACAGCTGAGGCAGCACATAAGCACTGGTGGTTCAGAGGTGGATGGTAGCGAGAGTGAACGTGGGGGATTTACAGGGCATCCCATGTGTGAATTCTGCAAAAACCCATTTTATGGGGATACCGAACTTTATATGCACATGTCTAGAGAACATTTCACCTGCCACATCTGCCAGAGGTATTGCATGCACCATGCGAAACGAAATTTTATTTTTTTGATAGCGTTACTGATAACTTTAAAAGATGTATCGACATTATTTCTGTTTTGCAGGCAACACCCTGGCCAGTATGATTATTATAGAAACTATGAGGACCTAGAGGTATGATTCTTTCATGTCCTTTCATAACGAGCCATGTTTGAATTCAACTATCACACAGTTCAATGTCTTTCTTCTTGATGCCAACATTTGCTATTCTTTATGCTTTATCATTGAAATTTGTTTTTTATACTTCTTGATTTCCAGACTCATTTCCGACAAGATCATTTTTTATGTGAAAGTGAAACCTGCTTGGCAAAGAAATTTGTTGTCTTTCAAACTGATGCTGAAATGAAGGTGATTGCGAACATAATTTGCCAATTTAAACTATATCATGTTAGAGTACTTCAGATTTTTATGTTTGAATGTTGAGTTTCCTCATGCTATGAGGGACTTTTTGACAATTTTTTACTAAATTTTTATTTTCAGAGGCACAATGCCATTCAGCATGGGGGTCACATGTCACGTGCCAAGAGGAATGCTGCCCTTCAGGTAAGCAGAACTTTAGTCTTCAGTCTTATCGGGCAGCTACATTAGCTTTTTGCTTGGCTTTTCTGTTGTGAATTGATTGCTCAAAACTCATCTTTAGTAGGATTAGATTTTAAGCTTTGCCTGTTTGATTTTATTCTTTTTGCAGATACCTATTAGTTTCAGATATCGACGGAACGAGCAGGACCAACGACGAGGAAGAAGACGTGATCTTCATCTTGAATCATCTAATAACCAACTAAACATGGCAATCCAAGCTAGTTTGGAGACTGCAATCTCAGAGGGTAGACTGAATGCTGAACATGGGGAAGCAAGTCAAGCTGATGAAATCACAAGTTCAATGGAACAATTAGTTCTTACTTCACATTTTGAACCAATCTCTTCAGTATCTATTCCGGCCAACAGACATAGCTCTGGAAATGAATCCATTCTTCAGGAAATATCCTTTCCTCCTCTCTCTGATTTCGAACCACCACTGCCTTCTTCCAGGTATGCACAGGTTCTTAATCGAAGAAGTGGAGCGAGTTTGGGAGAAGAATCATTCCCTCCTCTAAATGGAGTTAAAGTAAGCAGTAAACCAAAGCCCAAACTGGTTTCAGACAGTATTGTATCAGATACAATCGCAGCTCGTATTAATCCTCGTAACAAGGGTTCTGTTAAAATTCTTCACTCTGCTAAACTGAGACCGGTTGAAAACTATGAAGCTGGTTCCTCTGCTTCAAGTTCTTCCCACATGAGACCCACACAAATCTCTCAACCAGCACCTTCATCTTCTTCCTATGCTAGGCCTTGGGGTGTGTCGAGTCAGGTGGCTCCATCTTCCAGTTCTGTCCCTCAGGTAGGAGAAAATGGGTTTGCAGCTGCTATTTCTACAAACTCTGCATGGGCACTTAAGAACATGAAAATGAAGCATTCAGCATCGGCTCCTAATCTCCACAACAGCGACTCTTCTGAGAGTTCTACACCCCAAATTGTATCTTCTGTCACTTTAAATAAAGAATTCATTCTCAATTACAGAATCACAGAATCACCGTCACATGTGGATGTTTACAGAGCGAACAAATCTTTGGTAGAAAATATCCGCGCAGGTTTAGGAATGGATGAGAATAAATATGCAGCATTCCGAAGCATTTCTGCTGAATATCGTCAAAGTCTTATAAATTCGTGGGAATATCTCTCTTATGTTGAGCAATTTGGTCTTTCACATCTTGTTCTTGAACTAGCTCAGCTCTGCCCTGATCCCCAGAAACAGAAGGAACTTATTGATGCTTATAATGCTAACCTGTTTGCTAAGAATCAAAGAGAAAGCAGCAGTAATGCTGCTATTTCAAAAAAAGATGGGAAGATAAGGAAGGGGAAGACAGAAGCTATTAATCACACAGAAAATTCTTCTGCAAAAGATGCATTGGCTGATAGTATTTCAGAACAAGTTAGAAAGCTGCAGACAAGTCGCTATCCTCCAAAAGATGGGAGGATGAAGTGGAGATTTTGACCAAGGATGGGTATCGAACAAACATGGTTAAAATTCCATCAGCCATAGAAGGGAGCAGCACGAGCTATATGAATTCAAATGTGGTTGATTTAAGTAGTGAGAGAGAAACTATTAGTAACCATGGTTTGGGAAGTGAGCGGCATAAGAAAAACAAAAAGACATCAAAGTTTAATAGAGTTCGCCTGGGTGATGGTTCGGCTGCAGCTTATCTTGACCTATGTAGTCAACAAACTAGTCCTGAAAATACTGCAGGAGAAGAAAGAAACAAGCGAGCTGATGTGTTACCTGCTCAAGGTGTTTGGGGTAAAGGGGGTGGAAAAAAACTTTTCACTCAGACAGGCACCTCAAAATGAAACTATTCTTGCAGTTTTATTCTTTCTTAAGTTACATTTGTGTATCTATTAACTTATTTTGAGCAGGGTTCTAAGCAGAGAAAGCTGGTAAAGCTTGGAAAGTTTTGAATATCTGAGTTTTCCTTGCAGTACTACCAAAATATAGGTAAATCATATATCATACTTGTATATTGTTTCGACAAAATTTGTTTTTAGGTTTTTCTTTATGTTTGCTAAATATTATTAGAACATGCTGAGGGCATTTTCTAGTGCACCATTATTGTGGAGAAATTCATTTTGTTATTAGATTCTCTTTTTTCTTAACTCATGGGCACGCGTGTGTAATTTGACTCTGAACTGAAGACCTTGTGATTAGGTACAAAATACGCAACCATTAGGCCAAGTTGTTGCACATTATTTATTTTTTTAATTTTAATACATTGCCTTTTCCCTCTTATGGAGGCTTTTTTCTCATTGTTATTGCTGTGCAAATTCTTTCTTTCTAAGTAATTTTGTTCATTGCTGTGTTTTAGAGGCTTCAATGCTCGTATGGTATGGTTGTAGTTATTTGTAATATTAGTTCTGTAATTGCAGGAAATGCCGAGTTTTTGGGAAGTTTTTGTGGATGGGTCTTATAAACTTGAAGGTTGGCTCAGATTCTAACTTTTAGAGAAGCTTGTAGAGTTTGTATGATTCAGGGCAATCTCTTCTCGGTTGAACCTTTGCGTGAGATGCTTAGAAGTCCAAATTATTCGAATAAAGTTATGATTTCCCACCTTTGTTTTGGGTAACCCTAGAATTTGGAGCATGCCTTGGGTATGAGCTTCATTGAGGGGCATGTTGTACTAACCTCTTTAGTGTTAGAATGACATCAAAGTTGATTTGATTCATTTTGAGAGGTTGAAATTTACATCCAATTTGACTTTTCAAGGGGCAAATAATTTTGAGATTAACCTGGGGTTGGAATCAATTAGAATTAGAACTTTGTGCTGAAGTTAGCATTAAAATGTCTCAAAGAGTCCTTTGCAGGTATCTCCGCAAAGGTGTTTGTTATTGGGTTGAGCTTTGATGTCTGGAAATGGTCTTCGCAAACTTTATCAGGGACTTGGCAATAACTTGTGAGTCCTTGGGTGAACGAACTCATTGATGACTATTCGTGCATAGGGATCATCTCGACAGATGGTGGAGTGATGGGAATGTATTGATGAGTGGCTTGGAGCGAAGAAAATGCCTTGATGTATAGCATGAGTCAGGCACGTTAAGGCATTGTTTGGTTTGGTGTATTGGAGGTGTAAACTAAAAAAATACATGAGTTTGGATTTTTTTTTTTCAGTGTTTTTTAAGGGAATTCATAAGACTCTAAATGTCATTTTCTAGGAATTTGTATTCGACCAAAATTATGTAAATTCCAAATGCATTAGCTCGCACCAACTTCATTGCTGCATCCTAGACCTCAAATCCTTGCTAGCAGCTCCAATCCACTATAACAATCTTGTATCGGTGACCCCATTCCATCGCCTCTACAACTCACTTTGTCACTGGATTCACGACCTCAGACTTGAGCGATGACCCTGCCCTAGCGACGTTGTGGCATGTGCCTGTGCCACTATCCATACACTCCAATCCCAGTCCAAGATCCAACAGCATCGTCTCTGTACCAACATCCTTGACCATCGTCTTTGTGCCTCCACCATCCCCATCACGCCTTAGAAATCAAAATATAATGTATTTCATTTTCCACTAAACAAACAACCTTAAAAAATTATAATGCATTCTATTTAATTTGTACTGTATTTGAAATGCACATGTTTCTCAAATACTTGCAGCCAAATAACTTTTATAGGATAGATAGATTATTAAGAACTTAGTTTATGTCTCAACAAGAGGGCAGGCTCTGAATGAATGCTTGGAGGAGATATAGTAATAACTCTAGGGTAAATAGATCTTTGCAAAATGTCATTGATGGGATTTGTTTGAACCAGAAAATTTTAGGAGGCCTGACATACAAATCTTGACGAGTTTATTATAAGCTTTTTAGGTTTTTCTTTAGCTTACTTTATCTTTATACTTAGATTTTGGACTTTTAATTTAGATAGTCTAGCTTTTTAGGCTTTTATTCTTTTGCATATTTGTGCAAAAGGGTGAAGTCCCCCAAGAACAATTGAGCGATTATGTATAAGTGCTTCTATTGATGATAGAATACACTTACGAACACTTTGTTTTGTAGGCATCAAGGTGGTCAGTTAGGGGGATAAGTATTAGGACTTGTCTGTGGTCTTCTAAATCTTCATCCATCATGCACTTTTCTAAGAAAGGACGAGTAATTACAAGATCTTTTCTAAGCGATTTGCCAGTAGAAGCTAGCATTATCATAGATGCACTCTCCTGATTTTGGGCGTTGGCCAAGCTGGCGCGTTGAATGTTCTCAGACAGTGGCAACATAAGTTGTGCTTAAATGTGCAGCATATTGGTTGGAAACAAAATTAAGAACCTCAAACTATCGGGTTTGAGCGCTCACCCTGCCCGGAAGAAAAATGGTGGTTTGAGACTGCACCCTTCGGTGGCTAAGAATTGACAAGGCTTGCTTGAGACTTTCTTGAACAATTGTAGGTTGACCTGTTCTGCTGTTGGATTTCTTTTTAGTCTAGCAGATTCTTAGACCTCCAATTAATCTTCTTAGAGCTTAGCACCCTATCATCAATCTAAGATATCGTCATTGATGTCTTCATGGGTTGTAGAGCTATAAGATCTCAAATATTTTACTTGAGCCCCTGTTGCCTCAAAACTCAGTTTAAATTCTAATTTATAATTTGAGCCAAGCCTCAATCATGGTTTTAGGAATTTGATCACCATCTTCCATGATACTTGTAGCCATAGACTTTGTTAGGTTAATCATGTTCAAGTGCAAATATATATATTTTTTACTTGAGAATATTCTCGGCTGTTCTGTTACAACTTGAGAATGGGAGTTGGTCCTTATGGAATATCCAAAGTAAAAGAAAATGTTGATTCTCATAGGAGTTGAGCCTTATGAGGAAAATCCTTAATCTGAAGTAAAATAAATATTGATTCTCTTGTGTATGATCATAGAAAATATTTAAGACACAATTCTGTTGTCCATTGATTATCAAATGGATGACTGCTCTCTATCCCAGGTGTTTGTACATCCCATCCACTATGTGGCATCTTTTGAACTCTGTAACCGTATAAATGTTAGCTGTGGAGAACGCTGGATTACTATATTTGATGGCACGAGATTATTTAAACAAAATGAAATGTTCTTCAATTAGAATATTTAAGTAAACTTTTATGTTGTTAATTTAATCATAGACATTGTTAATACACTTGGCTTAAATATCAAACCTGGCCTATATTCTTATGCAGTAGGGTCAATTAAAAATACCTATGAGTTTGAGAATAATAAAAAAGAAAATTTACATACATAGCACACTTTTCTTACGTATTTGCATTTCTCACATTTAAACTTCCATATTTTCATACATAGCGTAGCACTTTCTTGTTTTAAACTTATGCATGAAATGGCATACTTCATTTTTTAGAAGTGATAATAGTGCTATTTTTTTTGTGATATGAAAGATTTAGGCGTTGTGTATGTAAATATGAAAATTTAGGTGTGAAATACCCCTAATAAAGAATGTATTATAAGGTTTAGCTTGATTGGAAATATATGAATTGTGTAACGTAGTTCTTCTAGATGTTTGCCATAACAATCTTGTTGAGTGCTATTTTATATGTAAGGCTCTTGAAGCAGCACAATAAGCACGAAGAGTTGCGGCAATTACTTAAAAAGTTATAGTTCCTTTTAAAGCAATCATGAGCTGAATCAACCCAAATAAGTGCAAATGATGAAGTCCATTTGTTAATTAGGGTAAAAGTAGAAGAGAACTCCTAGACAGCCTAGATTGGCCATCTAAAGAAATCACCCTTCATAGAGTCAATTAAGCTAGCCTGATTGACACATTAGAGGTAGAAGAAGATTTGCATTTGCACCCATTTGATTCTATAAATGGCTTTTAAGTTGTGGAAATCATGGTTATATAAGCTTTAATATCCAGTTTTTTTAATTCTAATCGTATGTCTAAATTCAAGATTAAATTCAAGTTCAAAGTTAGTCCTAAATCCAAAACCCATATTTGGTCAATATCAAGCCTAAAGTTCAAATAGGTGCATGGAACACTTTAAGCTAAATAAAAGCTATATAAAAATGTGCATTGAAATTAAGGAGAAATATTAGGAACATAAATTAAAGCTAAAAAGTTCTATCCCATACATTTATGGGACAACCAATTAAGAATGATGAAAGAGAAATGCAGTGTACATCTAACTTTTTCAGACATGGGAGTGCTCATAATAATAGGATTGCTTATTTGTTAACCCATTGAAGGTAGAAGATATAAATAAATATGGGATTAGTGCTTCTCTCTCAATTATTAGCATGATTGTCCTATTTTTTCCCTCAGTCTCTATAATCATCTAATTTATACTTAGGACATCTCTTTTTATCAACTCAATCCAAGGACTCCCACACCTTTTTCTCCTCCCTCTCCCAAATGTCTTAAAAGGTTTTTCCTAAATCAATAATTCAACCACCTCTCCCTCCACTTAGCTTGATTAACTATCTCCCTCGTTAAGACTATATCTCTCTCTAAGCCCACTACACTCAAGAAAAACCTAAGGTGGAAGAATTTTTTGATGGTTCCATTCAAGAGATTGAAGAAAGTTCTTTCAAGCAAATTATAAGAAAATGAACAAGTAGAAGCAAGATATTTAGTAGGAATTCAAAGATGATAGAAATTCAAAGCTCTTCATCATTGAAGTTTATAAGAAACTTGACAAGGCACATCTCCCATCTAGCTTATTCACCACATTCAATGAATTCTTTTTTTTATTTCACTTCTTTTTTGTTTACAATATACCCCTTTCATTTTACCATTCATTTATTGTGAAATAAACCAAATTAGTGTTCCTTATTGCAAGTGTCCATCATAAATTCTACATCAAAAGAATTAAATAATGTCTTTTATACAACAACAACAATAATCATTTCTCTCTCAAAATGAGGTTGGCTACATTAATACTTTTTCTCTATGATGTCCTATTGAGTGTCATATTTTCATTTAATTCTAATAAAGTAATGTTATTGTTAGGTCCCTAGTTCTAGATGTGAAAAGTGGAGGGTTATGCTATGTAGTCGACAAACAACATAAATTTTTTTTGTCAAAAAACTATGAAATGAATCCTTCAACTCGTATTTTTCATATTCTAAAGTATTAGCAATTCCAAATATTGATGTTGAGAGCAACACTTAGGGAATTGCACATTTTTTGCCATAATATATAATTTATTAGGTTTAGGGTTGTTGAAGGATTGAGTAAATAGAAGTAGAGCGTAATGAGTTCTTTTTGTCCCTCTTCTTTGTTAGACGACTAACTGGGTGGGTTTGTGGCTTTAGTGCATTCTCTTGGACTCCGTTTTAATGTTTTATTTTTCACATACACCCTTCAAAAAAATTCAAAATTATGATGCTTTATAAAGTAGAAAGCAATGGTGTCCTAATAAAGCAAGATATACTATTTATATATCATATATTGCACTTTACCTAAAAAAAAGTTTTATTTATTTATTTATTTTATTTTCATGAAAAGTATAATTTTGAAAGCAGTGCAGATTAAAGAAGGATTGGCAGTTTCTGCCATTAACAAATCTACCAGGATCTACGGGCATGAATTTTCTTTTTAATTTATTTTAGTGGCATAAGTTAGAAAGGCATGTTTCTTTTGTTTATTGCAATAAAGAAACCTTTGCATGCTAATAATTCCACCTTTTACACTAATGAGTGGATTAGTTGTTCCAAAAGTGATTAAGAAATCTTCTTGATAGTGGTTTTTGTTTTCATTTTTATTTCAAGTTGGTTCACCATCCATTTCGAATCACTAAGTTTTGGGGCATTTACATGCATACCACCTGATTCCCATCTGTTTACATATCTAACAACTACATTGTTCTTATTACATTTATACATTCCAAATCTTTTACATCACATCAAAAATAATCCCACGAGTTTAGTTTCATTTTCTTTCATAGCTAAGGAGGCATGTATGTAAAAATAAAAAGTTCATGTGTTCTTGATATAAATAGAAATAAATTGAGTGGTGGTGTGTAAATCTTCCTATATGTTATTAGAGCATTACGTAAATACCTTGAGGGTTTTAGAGTATAAATCACTTTTGGCTACTAATTGTTAGAGCTTCAAATGTGATGTAATATAATGATAAATGTCTACATCATGGATGAAATAATTTGAATTAATATAATGTGCCAGGTATTGTGGTAACACTAAATTAGTCACGAAAAATTCAAATAACGACAAAATACTTAAAAGATTTGAAGAAAATTAATTAAAGTTTTCCCAAGTGGAGACATCACCAAAGGAAGAAGTAATGGATTGTTGGATGACATGCAATGGCATAGCTCATACAAATTATTGAATCATTATTGAAACCTTTAAGCAAAAACAATGAAAACTTTGGTTTAAGTTGGCATCTAAAGATATGAAATAATGCTAAAGAACTCATCCAAGCAATGCATGCTATCTAATTTAAATATATTTAGGCACCCAAACCTATGTAGTATGTTTTAATTCAATATTTGTGCTACATAATTTTGGAAGGTAGATTTCTTTTCTTTTGTATGTATCTTTAAAAAAGTAAAAAAAAAATTATATTCTACTATTTATCTTCTTTATTTTGGTCAGTGGATTTAGCCTCCATTTCAAGGAGGGTCAAACATCTTCCCGATGGCCTAATATGATAATCTTATATGAATATGCTTCAAATGCTTGAAACCCCCTTAAGGAGAATAACTAAATAGTGTTGAGTAGGGGAATTTTTTGAAGGTATAATGCTTTGTAACTCATGATTGAAAATCTTCAATGGAATCCAGTGGGATGGTAGCTTTGGACTCCTTATCACTAATTAGAAGTTCGAACATGCTAGTGATTATGTTGTGAAGGGAGGAAACTTCAACTATTTAAAGCAAACTACGTAAAGTCATCATTGCTTGCATTTCATACAATCTACATCATAGGTAACAATAGTCCACTAATAGATCCATTCCATTGATCATAGTTTGAAGAATGATTGTGGGCTTGCGACACTTCCTACATCATCATCTTGGAGCCTATGGGGAAGAAGTGTGATGGACACTCTTCTCTAAGGGTCTTAAATCAGGTTTAGATCCGAACTGAAATTATTCCAACCTTAAATTGCTTAACATGAACCCTACCTCATTAATAAAAGTGCCAAAAAGCAGCCTGAAACTAACCCACCTTTAACCATATGACTCTAACCCGATTAACCAGCTGACCCAAACCCGACCCACTTTAACCAGATAACCCAAACCTAACGCATATAACCCATTTAACATAAGGCATAACAGTTATTAGGTCAAAATTCAGGTTAATTTCAAGTAGGAGGGTCGATTTCAAGTCAATTTCAAATTGAAGGGTCAATTTTAGGTTGACAAATCAACTCAAAATTGATCTGAAATATTAAAAGGGTTAGAGTTTCTAACCCAAATCCAACACAAATATTATTTGAGTCAACTCAAATTGAGATTTTTTTAGTCAAGTTCGGGTCGAGTTGGCATGAGCCAGTTTTTTACTCTCTTATTCTTCTCCAACAAATCATATAGTGTCCAATTGATAACCATTTTTCTTCTTGATCCACTCAGAAATATGTGGCCACCTCTATCTAATGCTTCTATTATGGCAATTGAATTAACACTTCAGTTTATTTATAATGAATTTGATTCTAGCAGGGAGGTAAACTAGGTGACAATTTTTTTTATTAAAATCTAAAATTCATGAACCTTATGAGACTTATCTATAATTAATGATTGTGACCAATATAAATATCTTATTTATCACTTTAGTTAGAAACCTTTTCATCCTAAGAAAATGCCATTGTGGTTTAAAGAGATATCACTACTTAAAATAATTATAGAAAATTATTGAAGTAATTGACAAAGAAAGTTCACCACTAACAAAGCCAGTTTATAAACAATTTTTTTTTAACTTTCTTACTGGATTGAAAATTAACTAACATTAATACCAATTAAATTCTTTGATAAAATCAATTAAAATTCAAAATATAACAAGATTTTTGTCAAACGTTTCTTTTAAATTCTACTTGTTACTTATGAATTTTATCCCCAAATTTCCTTCAATTAGTAAAATAAATTTCTTAAAATTATATGAAATCCTCATTTTTATGATCATCTCCTTTATCAATCTCATCTCTAATTCCTACCATGAATTTTCACACATTCTCATAGCAAATCATGCTTATAGCCAGCAACCCTCACCAACCTCCCAGCAATTTCTGATTTTCAAGCTCCTTACAACAATTGCAAATCATGCTTATAGCATATGGAGTGTTGAAGTTTCAAGTTTCTTAAAAAAAAATGGGCAAAAAGAACAATGTTTCTAACTATGGACGGTAAACATCTCTCTCTATACTAGTAAATATATTCTAACACGAAGATACTCTATTACAATACCTGCACGAGTGCATCTATTAAAGACAAGCAGATCAATATTGGGCATACAATATATTTCACATGTTTATAAAAATATAAATAATTTGTAAGAAAAACTTTAATTTTTAATAATACAAAAAATAATGATTACTAATTTTTGGTAAAATGAACATATTTGCTTAAGAGATATTCAAATATAGAGCTCTACAATAGGTGGATATTCTAGAAAAATATCATAATATTCAAATTATAGGTCTTGGATGCAAGTTGCTAAAAAAATAGAAACTTAGGCTTAATTTACGAGATTTCGTCGCATAACTTGTGACATTGAGTTCTATTTTTCCCCATCAATCATTGTTATTTAAGGATCGATTTGCAAGAGATATTTTTTTTCTAAAAATTTAAGGAATAAATTTTAACAGAGTGTGACACATGGTGGCTAGTATGAATGGAGATCCATACGCTTGCATGAATGTATAGATATGTATTATTAATTCAACAAACAAATCAATGGCATATCACAATAATAAACAAGATGACGAGTGAAAGGGAAAGGGAGAAGAAAAAAATGAGGAGGGGAGCGAATGAGTGAGAAGCGGATACAAATAAAAATGATATAATTTTTAAAAAAAATATTTATTTAAATTATTTCCATTTTTTATGCTAAACTATGTTATTTTTCATTACTCCCATATTGATGTGTTAATTTAAAAGTTATTTTCTCATTGCATATATATATATATACACACATTAAAAAATCTTTTTGGATGAATAATGTGTAGATTAACTCACAACTAAAGTGTTTTAAAAATACTCGCTTAAGGTTAATAACATATTATTTATTGATAACATTAATCTATAAACATTTTTAATAGAAATTTCATCGGTAAATACTTGGTGAATAATCCAACGCTATAATTTTTTGTGTTCTCTTTATGGTTGTACTCACAATTTGCTTGTTGCCTTTGTAAAATAAGTATATTCCTTCATGGCTTAAATAACTACTCTACAAGTTCCAATTTTAATTTGAATTTTATTGTTGAACTACCTCTAACTGCAATAAATCATGTTGCAAAAACATTTGGAATTATGAATATTCTACATATTGTAAGAACTCATGAGCTTAATGTGTTAATATGTTTACAAGCACACACTATAACAATAACGATGATGATGATGATGATGATGATGATGATGATGATGATGATTTTCTTAAGCAAAAATATAAATTGAGCTCTTACCAAAGTGATGGGCATGTTATGAATTAAACAAAATCAAATTGAAATCAATCTAAATCATCTTTCTAGCATATTGTAGTACCTATTTGATATTAATTAAATTTGTAATTAATATGTATAATTTACTTTAGCATTAATAGTAACTTATTTAGAATAAAATTAAATCTTGCACATCCTTATTCATTACTCAAATGTTATAACAATTCAAAAACAAATAATAATAATAATAATAATAATAATAATAATAAGGGCATTTACATACGTATCACATATTTCATATATATTTACACATCATCACCTAAACTTTCTTAACATTCAGTTATTTAACATCAAATCAAAATAATCACCATTTTTCGAGAAGCCAAATAGACCTTTTTATGCATATATGTATAACACTAAAATGTTATGTATGCAAACTAAAATTGTATGTGCTAGTTATATAAATACATAACAGTTGTGTACCATGCCAATAAACTTTAATAATTTCTCTGATGTTTTGTCCCACCAAAGCCTGATTCACTCAAACCAATCGTAAGGCATAAATAACTGCTTTCTCTTCCTTCTCCTTCCTCTGCAATACACTCGGGGAGTAGGGGGAGACAGAACAATGAAAATGGCGATGGACATTCTTACTTGCTTGCTATTACTTCAACTAATCGCCCAACTCACTCATTCTGCCAGCTTAAACTTCGATTATCTCAACGTTCACGACCTCCTCTCCTCCACCAGCCGCCACCCTCCCCATTACTCCACCAACCTCCATTCAAACACCGCCGCCGCTGGCCAACGCAATCTCCATCTAGAACTCCACCACCGCCACTCTATCTTCCCCACAAAACTCCAACCTTTATCCGACCTTCTCCCCCGCGACCTCCGCCGTGTTGCCGCACTGCAACGCCACCTCTCCCCACCCAAATACCAACTCACTGACTTCACCTCCGACGTCTTCTCCGGCGTCGACCAAGGCACCGGAGAGTATTTGCTCCGCCTCGGCGTCGGCTCACCCCCCGTTGACGAGTTCCTCGTCATTGACTCCGGCAGCGACATCATCTGGCTCCAATGTCAACCTTGCTCTCAATGCTATCCGCAATCCGACCCTGTTTTCGACCCAGCCCGTTCCACCTCCTTCTCCCCCGTCCCCAGAAGTTCCCCAATATGCGCTCTCATCGCCGACGCCGCCGCCGCCGCCGACGCCGACGAGCCGTGCAATTACCGAGTGTCGGCGACGGTTCGTACACTCGCGGTAATCTGGCTCTCGAAACGCTTACCTTCGGAACCACCGCCGTCGGAGAAGTGGCTATCGGCTGCGGGCACCAAAACGGCGGCCTTTTTGTCGGTGCGGGGGGGCTGCTGGGCCTCGGATGGGGCCCACTTTCATTAGTGGCCCAGCTCGGTGGGGTCGCCGGCGGATCCTTCGCTTACTGCCTTCCGAGCAGGGGATCCGTGGTCGGCGAAATGGTGTTCGGGAGAAGCGAGGCCGTACAGGAGGGAGCGGTGTGGGTTCCACTTCTCCGGAATCCTCGGGCCCCGAGCTTCTACTACGTGGGCCTCACCGGTCTGGGAGTCGGCGGGACGAGGCTGCCGGCTGTGGGAGAAGAAGCGTTCGCGTTGACGGAAGGGGGAAGCGGGGGGACTGTATTGGACACCGGGACGGCGGTGACGAGACTTCCGGCGGCGGCGTACACGGCTTTAAAGGAAGGTTTTGTGGAGGCAGCGAGATTGCCGGCCGCGGGGGGAGTGTCGATATTCGACACGTGTTACGCGTTGGGTGGGTACGGGAGTGTGAGGGTACCGACGGTGACTTTATACTTCGCCGGCGGGGCAGAGCTGATTTTGCCGGCGATAAATTTATTGATTCCAGTGGACGGCGCCGGAACTTTTTGCCTGGCTTTCGCGCCGTCGGGATCGGGCTTGACGATATTGGGAAATATACAACAGCAGGGAATCCGGATTACTGTGGATTCGGCTAATGGATATTTAGGTTTCGGCCCAGACACTTGTTAGATATTCATCGCATTACTACGTTTATTTGGGCCATTTACATATATATATTATATATATCTAAACTTTTATTTTTATATTTATATCACTAAAATATTTCATATCATTTCAAAAATTTTACTCTTTTTTTTTTAAAAAAAAATAAATATACATTTGCATGCACATTTAATTTTTATACTATTTTATATTAAATATGTATAAAAATTGAAGTATATGTTAGATGTGTAGAAACATGAGAAGTGAGTGGTATGCATGTAAATCTTCGTATTTGTATGGATTATACTTCCAACAAGCTTTTGTTGAATAATTTTATGTCCCTCTGTAGATTACACTTTACATATAAATATATGTGCTTTATTTATGCTTAAATATTTGATTTATAAATAATGATGATTATCAATTGATGAACAAATGATTTTTTCAATCATGAAAAAATTAACACATAACTTTCAAAAATAATTTGTTGAAGATTGTTACAAATTATTGATAGTTTAATTAAAGTAAAAGTGAAAAATTAAAGTATATGGTTAGGTTGTTTTTTTTTTAAGTTCAAAATGATATTGTCGTTGTTGAAATAAAAAATGTCATGTGGTAGCACCCAAGGTATACAATATTAATCGAATGAGAGGAACCCATAAATTTACAATCGACTGCAACTTGTGGATCAGTTGGTGCTGCAATGAAGCATGCTTCTAGCATTACTTGCATCGTCTAGAAAACTCATCTGGCTCTTTCATGAGGGTCGGCCAGAAGTTCTATTGCCTTTGAATATAATGTGCCAAGGTCATTCCTCCGAAATGACCCACATTCGTCAGAGTGTAATTCCCAAAGGATTTCTTCTATCTCATTTTCCTTTACACATCTTAGGATCAGTGAATTGGTTGGTCTTCAGAAAAGTTTAACTTCACTCATGAAATACTGTGCATTTTTAAACTTGGATATTCTTGGATCCATTATTTCTCTGAGGATCATTACAGTTTATAGATATTGGATGTGTGGATTCATCAAACTCTTTGTGCTTTCAACTTCCACTCCATGGCTTCTGACTCATCAATGACCGACCAAAGAAGCCTCTAAGGTGTTCCCTCTCCGACGTAAATGTTCTTTGATAGAAGGTTTGCTCCTTGATTTTCTTTCCAACTAGCATGCTCGATCAAGAAGTCCACAAACTTACCTATCTTGAAAGCTATTAATGCATTATTTTTTGTTTTTTGTTTTTTTATTTTGGAGACATGAGTCTGTTTGTCTTAAGATTCCCTTTTTCGAGGAACCCTCTTACTTGAAACGTCAAAACGATTAGAAGAAAAGGAGGGATTGAAAAAGAGGGAAATAAGATGAAAACTAGACAGACAAATGTAAAACGAATCTTGGAGAGCTTATTTGAAGTAAACCTCATGCGATAGGTCAAGAGCGTACATCCAAATAGGATCGGATCGAGACACCTTAAAATGAATATCCATGAAAGAATACATACATTAGCTATAAAAATAACCAAAGAAACAAATTTGTGTGTTTCTTTTGAGTTCAAGATCACTACCAAAGGGATGTATACTTTTAGTTAATTATATCTTGGGGATGCTCGAGAGTAATTTCAATTAAAGGAATCATACTTACAGTAAAGTGACAAGTAAAAAGTGTGTCAAAGAATGGTTATATCACAGGAGCATCTCGACGCTTTCAAAGTCTGCACCGAGTCATACGAGCAGAGAGTGAATCTCTCATAATGCTTTTAAGCCTAACAGGACCATAAGGGCATAGAGTGACGAGATGACATTGACAAAGTGTCAAAGGAGTGATAGGGAAATACGTGTATGCTAAAAGAGAGATTGAGTAATTTTAATATGGTAGAGATAGCTGGGTCAGGATATCATAAATTTGTCATCTTAAGCTATTGGGATCTTAAGTCAACCTTGGTGTGAAGGTAGTCGACCCAATCCAACTGAAGACCCCCTTGTCAACAATCCATGACTTATGTCGTCCAAGGTGACCTCATTAGCCCTAAGATCAAGAGAAGGAAAAAGTCTTGTGGCTCATAGTGGATAGAAAGTGGAGGTGGGACTCATACCTGCCAAAGTGGCGACGAAGTTGCTAAAGTGTAAAAAGAAGAGAGATACAACTGTGAAGACAAGACACTCTCACAGAGTACTTATTTTCGTTTGGGTTCAGGAAGCCTCTGAAACCCTAAGTGTGTTAGACAACCACATAAGTAGAAATCATATGCTTGTTTAGGCAGGTTGAAGAAGCACGGGGACTATATCACAATGTGAATATACTCCTCTACTGTGATATGATGGTTGATTAACTCCAAGAGTTCAACCAAATTATTACGTAATCCCAAAAAGTAATTGAATTGTTTGCTCCTTAGCCCATGCGCCGGGGCATTAAGTTTTACATTTCTCTTATAAGAGATGTACGCCCGAAGACTCGTTCAACACCTGCTTGATGTCACAGAGCCTGTGTGACTTTACGGGCCTTCTTAGCATTAGCAAATTGCACCATAAACAACTTCTTGAACTCACCGAATGAGGAAATAATTCTTGTTGTGAGGAAACCTTAGGGTCAAATATCCCAACGTGATATAGAATAATTGACACTTTAGTGCGTCAGAGATTTTGAGAAGGCATACAAATGACTCAAATGAGGCTATGTGGTTGACTGAATCTCTTTGATACTAATATGATTCTAAGGATGAAATTTTAAACTTCATCTGCGTTTAACATTGGAAATCTGTTAGGAGAAAGTATTCTCCAGTTGTCAGTATGCCTTAAATCGCTTAGATCGAAGTCTAAACCTCAGTGTTGACCCAACATTATCATAACACAAAGATTTTTCAACTCTTTCCACTCCTTGATCAGTTCGATGGTCTTGGGGTTGGTATTCTATTCATGGGTTCAGTTCTTGAGGAGCTTATGCTCTTCCCTTGAGTATTATGCATATCAACTTTGTCATTTGTCTGACAATTTGTTTTATGTGTTCATGAATTTGTTGTTGCATAATTTCTCTTATAGACTCCACGTTTGAGGTTTCTCCTATGTGTGTTCCTTCTACTAACGCACTTTCTTCTTGTTGATAGCAATATTCCAATCTCACCGCACTTTTATGATGTTGAATTAAAAAATGTCCTAGGGGTCAAACCCAAGGTATAAAGCGTTTGGTAGATGAAGAAGAGAGAATGAGAAAGAGAGATAGAGTGAAAAATGTGTATAATAACACAAGTCTGAGATGGTGAATTAAATAGTTCTTTCTTGAAAAAATAACCCCATATTTATAGCTCTTAAGGGTTTCAAGTAAAGTTACATGTCTGTCTCTGTTTTAATAGGGACATTACAAGTTATTATTACACAATTTCATATTTGCAACTGAGTTTGAGACCCTTTAATATCCATAACAGATGCTTCTTATTCAAAACTACTTTTAATGTTCCTCTGGTTTTGTCATTAAGTAGTTTGATAATCATTCGTTCGGCCTCCTCGATAAAGGCCCTCTTATCGTTAATGTGAACTTGAACCATCATACAAAGAATGTATTACTATAATCTAACAGTGAGTACTTATTGGACACATGACCTTCTCAAAGGATTGGCACTGTATTGGGGTGCCCTTTGACCATCTCTATGAAGAATCTCATAATCATTCAAGGGAGCTAGCTGTAGCTGATTGTCCCTCGGATCAGGTGTCTCATATTCTTTCGTTCGTCCGAGTTTTCATTCAGTCGGCCTATAGTTTCGACCGAAGGGACCGACACTTGACATCTCCATTTTTTTACTATTCAGATGCAGTCTTGTGAGACCACTTGAATTTCCTCAAGATTGATACGACCATATTTTTGATTTACAATTATTAAACCAATATATTTACCTACTAGTTTAATTAATAAATAAATTTTATTGTTATAAATATTTATATACATACCACACACTTTTTATGTATTTTGATATCTTAAACCTACACTTTCCTATTTACATGAAAAACAAATAAATCTTTAATATCACATAAAGCATCACTATTGTTAGTTTTTTCCTTAAAAAATAGAATTTTCAATGTATAAATTTATGACATTAAAGCATGATTAATACTACGAAAAATTATATCACTTAGTTCTTATCTATCTATATATGTATGACACTTAAACTTGAATTTTTACATATATCTCATGCCTGTACATCAAAAATATGTATTTTTTATTTTAAAAGTTATAATGATTATATATTTGTTGTGATATGAAATATATAGGTGTTTATAAAAGTAAAATTTTGGTCTTCCATGTAAATACTGAATAGGGAGCCGGGAGGTATGAATGTAAATTTTCCCGTGAGAATCAAGTGGACTCCGACAAAACAGAGGTTCCTCCTCTTCCTGTATCTGTATCTGTTTCTGTTCGGTGATCAAAACCCTAAACTGCTAAACCTGTTGACGTTCGCCGATCCATATGCATAAGAAGAAAATTTATCTAATACCGCACAGCATATTAACGAAGTAGACGGCAGATGGGTTTGACCATTCTCCAAACTATCTCGGTTCTCTTGCTTTCCTTCTTCTTCTACCCCGTCAAATCGGCTCCCCAACCCTTCCGGCGAGATCCTGGTCATCCGCACTGGCACCACAGCGCTTTCCACGATGTGAAGGAGAGCGTCCGATCTGATATCCGCCGAATGCTTCACACTCGCGCTGAGGTGTGTTTAATTCTCTGAATTCGGGATTCGATTTTTTTTCTGTTTTTATCGATTCATAAGCTGATTAAATGCCCCGTTATTAAATTTGATAATTACCGATGTGATTTTAACCATATTCTATTGAAAGTATCGAATCATCTCACTCTTATTTGCTTGAATTCTAGCTCCCTGTTTCCGGGAAGGGATTTTACTTTGGTTTTGCTGCACTTGGAGAGGGATAAAGCGGAAATTAATTGATTTTTTCTGTCGGACGTTAATGCTAAGTTTCATTATGATGCTAATAGTATTGGAAGAGAGGGATTTTCTGCACCCCCATATGAGAGTAATTTATTTATTTTTTTCTTTCTTAGCAGAATAAGAACAAGAATTTCACACCACAATATTACTTTAACATGTCAACTATAGTTCTGATCGAAAGAACAAATTTCTAATTATTTCGGATTATTAAAAGAGTGAAAGCTTGTTTCATGTATGGGAAAATATGATATAATATGACTTTAGTACTCATCATGACCAGCCAGCGTTTGCCTTCATTTTGAAAGCTAGTGGAAGTAATGGAAATTGTAATGTAGTGAACACTTTATATGAATTTGTTTGCCACACGGCATAACCCATTGATTGTTTTTTCAAGGGTTGTCATTGCTCAAAGAAGGATCAAAAGGTTCTAACATATGCTGTTTAATTGGGCAATGCTTGTAAATTTATAGGATCGGAAAAGCATATGGAACTTGTTTAGCTGACTCCATGGAATTGGAGGGAAAAACTTGCAGAGGATGACTTTTGAAAACTTTGATGACGCGGAGGAGAAGAATCATCTTAGTTACAACTTTAAGGAAAATTTTGTGATCTCGAATGATGAAAATTAAAATTACCCTATTCATTATTTTAATGACATGGCTCGCAAATCTTAGTATGTGAAGAGGAATCATAGTTATCATCATATGCCTATAAATGAGAAGATTGTAAGGATAACTTTGATATCCACAAGCACAAGCTTTTAAAATGAGTGATAAATATGATGTTTGGAATATACTTGTTTTCCTTGTTAATGTTCATAAGTAATCATTAAAATTGAGAAATTTATGTTAAAGTGGCCTTTTACGACCGTCTATCTTGAAAATTATGGTGTAGAAATTGCAAATTGGGAAATGTTTGGGCCGGTTGTGGAGATTTCAATTTAATCAATGATAACGAGTCTCTTGGAGAAGAGATTGAAATAGATCTGACACTAGAGACAAGTGAGCGAGGAGACTTGGTGTGTGTGTTGATATTGTAATCGAGAAAGTTAATTGTGAGAGAGAGAATTTGGTGGGAGTTGTGTGGTTGTTGCAACCTTTCAATGGATCTGTTTGAATTGTCTGGCTTGCAAGCAAACATGATAAGAATTGATAGTGGGTGATTGTGAGAGGGGATACGACTAAGCTTGCATGTAGAGTGGACGTTGAGTAGTGAGTGAGTTCAACTAGAAGTACATTGTGGCAATGATGGAGGCAACTGCATGGGAAAAACTTGCAGAGGATGACTTTTGAAAACTTTGATGACGCGGAGGAGAAGAATCATCTTAGTTACAACTTTAAGGAAAATTTTGTGATCTCGAATGATGAAAATTAAAATTACCCTATTCATTATTTTAATGACATGGCTCGCAAATCTTAGTATGTGAAGAGGAATCATAGTTATCATCATATGCCTATAAATGAGAAGATTGTAAGGATAACTTTGATATCCACAAGCACAAGCTTTTAAAATGAGTGATAAATATGATGTTTGGAATATACTTATTTTCCTTGTTAATGTTCATAAGTAATCATTAAAATTGAGAAATTTATGTTAAAGTGGCCTTTTACGACCGTCTATCTTGAAAATTATGGTGTAGAAATTGCAAATTGGGAAATGTTTGGGCCGGTTGTGGAGATTTCAATTTAATCAATGATAACGAGTCTCTTGGAGAAGAGATTGAAATAGATCTGACACTAGAGACAAGTGAGCGAGGAGACTTGGTGTGTGTGTTGATATTGTAATCGAGAAAGTTAATTGTGAGAGAGAGAATTTGGTGGGAGTTGTGTGGTTGTTGCAACCTTTCAATGGATCTGTTTGAATTGTCTGGCTTGCAAGAAAACATGATAAGAGTTGATAGTGGGTGATTGTGAGAGAGGATACGACTAAGCTTGCATGTAGAGTGGACGTTGAGTAGTGAGTGAGTTCAACTTGAAGTACATTGTGGCAATGATGGGGGCAACTGCATGCTAGAGATGTTTTTTAGGTTGTTATAGATGCACAATCAATGTGTGTGGAAGGCTGGGTGTTTTTCCAGCTAGAATTTGTGTGGGTGAGATTTGCCTTGAGGAGGATCAGTGAGTGTGCGAAGAATGGAAGTAAATTGTTAGGGGAGGTGCAATGTAAGTGTGTGTGGTGTTGGGATAGGGGTTGATGAGTGAAGTATGATATTGCATATAGAAAATATATCGGTCATGGTAAGAAAAATAGGCTTATAATAGAAATCAAAAGAAAATTTTAAAATATTTGCTTTGATATCAAATTGACGGAGAGAGTGAGAGCAAATTCCCAGAGGACACAAGTTGGAGTAATACACGTGCACTACTTGAATCTAGAGAGCACTTGATCGTTTTCATTAAATAATTTCATCTGTCATTATATCAAAAATTCAATCACAACCCATCAATCCTTATTTATATAAAATTGGTTACGAGTATAAGGATGAATTTTAAATTCAAATTCAAATCAAATTCTATAGTAAACTCAAATTTAGTCCTAATATTATCCAAAATAAAATAATTGAATCTAATAAAATTTATCAAATTAAAAAATAAGAGAAATTTGACCATAATTAAAAATGGGCTTAAAGAGACTTGAAATTTGGTTCCGAACCCAAGTTAACTTTGTTTGCTTGGCCTATTGAAATATTGTCTCTTTGGGTGAATCCAATTAGTCTGTTTTTCTTTAATAAGTCATTAGGTAAAGCTCTTTGTATATGGATACATGTGAACCCAAATTGAAATCTCTAAAATTTATGTGTTAGTGTATTTTGCTATTATGTATTTAGTGGTAACTCGAAATGGAGCCTCTTTTACTTGATCTCTAGTTAATGAAAAAGAAATTAAGCCCAAATTCTGACCTGCTCGCTTGAACTTGACATTTGTCGCAATAGCTTGCACAATCTGTGCATATAATTTACTAACTTCATCTTATTGACCCATTTAAACCTATGTTTCACATGCACAAAATATTGCTTCTTGATAAGCTGTTGGATCTCAATGTGTTGGATTATCATGCAGGTCCAATTTAAGGTTTCTCTTGAATTTCATGTTGTCCTTGTTGGTTTCATTTTATAATTTTGCGCACAAACTATTGTTCTTAGAGAAGTTATTGGGTTTCTTTGTGTTGGAGTATCGTGCAGGTTCCATTTCAAGTCCCTCTTGAGGTTAATGTTGTCCTTGTTGGTTTTAATGGTGATGGGGGCTATAGATACTACTTGGATGCACAGAAGCTGGAGGATTTCTTGAAAATCAGCTTCCCAACACATCGACCCTCCTGCTTTGAAACTGGCGAACCTATTGATATCGAGCACCATGTCGTATATAATACAATACCCGTAAGTTCTCTTAATAAATACATCTTTGTAACATGTCTTTATATTTGGTGTTCAGATATTGAATATTTTAGATATTGAATATTTCACTGTTGTAGATTGCTCAGTGCATGCCATCTTAGCTCAATTACAGAGTATTTTTTGAAGATTAAGCATTTGGGATCTCTTTTAAATGTATGTTACTTCTTGGTTTGTTCATTGTATTTAAGTTTTTGGACGAAAACCTTTTTATTTTTTTACGCGAACAACAAAATGACCTCAAAATAATGTGTTTCCCGGTTACCTTCTTGGGCACCTCATTGGTCATCTCATGTGATTTCTTTGGTTAAGAACCATAATGAGCATTATTTTGTCAAGCAAAAAGATGATCATGTGCTTGTTCATTTTATTTTATTTTTTCCTTGGTAATCAAGGAATAGAGATAAGAACCATAATTTGAATGTTGTTTTAGCACGAAGTATGATATGGAGTGCTCCTTGATATGGTTTAATACCTAGTATGGTATAGCAGTGGTTCATAATACGAATTTTGTCGTCCAGATTCATGAAGAGTAATGTAGGATGACAATACAAGAATTATTAAAGAAGATAAAGATTATAGCGACGAAAAAATGGATTAAGATAAGTAGCTTATACTAAAAAAATTCATCAAGTAATCCTCACTTTTATGACGGTAAAGGCTTATTGCTTTCTTAAAAGGTTTTTATAAGGACATTATGAACTCTGTTGCAGATTTTTCACAGATCTTCAAACAAACAACACATTTTGAATAATTCTCTTAACCCATCAAAATGCTCAGCACACTTACAGTTTTTTCCCTATGGCTTTTAAGCCATTCTATTGATATGGTGGCAACAATATTTGTTTGTTTTACGTCTACATTTTAGCTTTGCCTAGATAGGAATGACACTATCATCATTATAAAGCTTTTGCCAAAATAATTGAGCAGAATCTACCAACATGGACAAATCCGATACAACTTTTATTAGTTAAGTGGCGCTTATTTCAAGCATTGTGTTTTAAAACATTATAATTTCACTGCTCATTACAAGCAGTGACATGATTTATGTCAAACTATCATAGTTGAATCATTATAAGATTTATATTTTATTCTAACATTAGGGAAGCTTTTGACATCTATCAATATTTTTAATAAAATCGTCATTAAGAGTATTATTCCTTTTATTCGACACATTTGCGGCCATATTTATTACTGTGTTTTTTATATTTGTAATAAAAATGATTTGTAGATGACATATCAGACAATCAACTACATTTTTTATGTATAGAAATTCTGTGATCAAGTTTATTCTTTTCATGTCATTTGTTTTTTTATTAACTATGAGCTAGTTCATGCAAGTTTAAAATAATGACAACTACATTTTTTATGTATAGAAATTTTGTGATCAAGTTTATTCTTTTCATGTCATTTCTTTTTTTATTAACAATGAGCTAGTTCATGCAAGTTCAAAATAATGACAAAGTCAATTAAATCCTAGCTATAACATGCAGTTTGTACCATTGACTCTTTGTAAAATATAAGTGATCAGGCAGGCAAATCATTTCAAATTATTTTAGTGAAGCTTCCTGGAGCAAGTCTTATACAAATATAAAAATTTTACCAATTGATACTAAAATTAACCCACAATTTTAGTTTTAAAACAAATACCATAATCATATATATTACAATCAAACCTTGACTTGCAATTGATGAATTTCAGGAAGATGATCTGAATGAAAAAGTAGGCCAACAAAAGATGAACCAGCTTATAGATGAAAGTGGCCTACTAGTTTTGATGCATGTCATTCTATATATTGAATTTTCCTCTTTCTATGTCTTGTATTATTTATGACTTTTTAATAATAAGCACATGAACTACTACCTCAGAATACATGCATATTAAAAGCTAAGATGATATTCATGTGCCTTGTGGTTTGCCTTGGGAAGTGATTGTGGGAGGGAGTGAGGGACATTAGTAATTCACATACTTGAGAATGGGCAATGGTGGAAAAAGCTAGTGACCGATCCTCCCTTTTGGAAGGAATCTTGTGTGAATTCAAGGTCATTTTTGGCTTATTTTATTTAAATTTATGTTTGTAACTTGCTTTCCATGCTATCATTGTCAACCATAAAGGAAAGTGTGAGAAAATTCAAGCCATGTTATCAGTCCAGGGTGCATAGCTTTTTATTTCTTTTTATTTTGTTTTTATTTTTATACAATTTTTTATTTTACTTTGCCCATAAACAAGGCACTTATCGTACTCTTTATTTATGTATGGAATAAGACTATATTTTCTTTATAGTTTGTAAATTGTGCGAAAGCTTGGTGACTCTCTTCTCCTGACACAGGAGCTGAAATTGTTATGCATTTAGTTGGGTGCCATATTTGTAATTAAGTCTTTTCTCTTAGTTTTTTTGTTTTTTTTGAGGGATTGCCTATATTCGGCTGCCTTGTATGTTAGAGGCAGAAGGAGAGTTTTGATTGGTTGTAATAATTTTCTGTATCCTTCTTGGTTAAGAGGTGTATTCGGTATCTTGGAGAGGGGCCAAGACGGTGATCAACTTTTTAGTTAATGCATTTTTTCTCTTTCTTGATATTTTCGGCGTAACTTTCCTCTTCTTTATGAAAATTTCGAAACCGCAAATTTCAATTTTGTCTTGTTACGGTATCATCCCCTTTTTGGAAATTAGGTGAATACTCTCAAGACTTGTTCTCCCCTCCATTCCTAAAGCTCCCATCTCCTCCTCCCAAAGAACCCTAATACCAAGTAGCATCACCTTTAATCCTTTGCACAATTTTCCTATGATCCATTCTTCATCCCCAAATGCCAGTCACCCAATGCTAGCCACTACTTCAAGAGAAACCGAAGAGGAAGGGCCCAACCTCTCTCTCCACTCCTAATAGACTTCTTTTCTCCTTCAAACTACTTTTTTTCTTCCAACCCTAAATTGATCTCAGGCCTCTCCTCTCTTGTTATCTATTATCCTCCATCATAAAACATATCTACCTCATTAAAAATTCCACAAAAAACAGCCCTAGCCTAAACCAAATTCACGCTCATTTCAAACCCATAAATTTGTCAGACCTATAATTTTTATTATTTCGTTACCTGTCATTATTAGGCCCCTAAGCCTCCAACAAGCAATCTAGTGCTTGTTTTCTTGAGATCACTTTCCACATTCTCTATCAAACTAACTAACCCAAAAAATATCAAGTTGTTGTTGAATGTCCATTCTGATATACTAGTATTGTTCCCAATTCCTTTCTGTTGAAAAGCAACCTATTGTTGACACAGTAGCGTCAATACTACTGTTGTCCAAATTATGTTTTTATTTGTTTTCTATTTTGAATGACATAGTTATTTTGTGTATAAGCGTGGGGGGAATATTGAGTTTCTTTCTTTTGTGAAGGTTGAACTACCCCGTTCATCTTCCTTATAGCTAGATCCTAAAGTTGGCATCCCAGGTGGTGTATTGCCATGTGTATTTTTGTGCTTCATCTACATCAATGATACTCCTTTTTTTAATTCTTTGTCTTCAAAAATCTTCACAACAATTCTTGATAACTGTTTTGCTGAAATTCTACAATCATCCTCCTTTGTCGGTAGCAATGCCCTCCCCTTAATCTCTACCACTATTCATCAACAATGTCGATAACATTGCTGACCAAAATCACCAAATGAATCTTCAATCATTCTTGAACCATCGACCTCTTATTCATATACACGCTATTCTCTCACTAGTTTCCCATTATAAACCACTTTTTTTGCTTCCAATTTAGTGAAACTAGTAGAAGAGTGAAAGAGGAAGCCACTGGAATTAGATTAGAAGGATTCCTACTTTCAATGAAAATCCTTTTAGAAGTGCCAATAGGCTTGGCGAAGTAGGAATTAAGGGAGTGTTAGAATCCACCGACATTGATTGGGTGGTCATAGTTTGGTGCGAAAAAGCTTATAGCAGTGAGGGTGATGGAGGTTCTATTTTCGAGCTCCCTTGAATGATGTTTAGAAATTAGACTACTAAATTCATGATTAGATTGACGTTTTCCCTTCTCTCAGCTCTCATGAACAACCTTTCAACTTCTCTCTCTGGAATTCATAGCCAATTGATTTAGATATTGCTTTTAAAGGATTTAGATATTTGGAGAGGATAAATTGAAGAGTGAGGAACAAGTGGCTTTTTAAATAATATATATATTTATATAGGAATAACCTTTGCTATTTATGGTTTCTTAATGACTCTTTGATATATCGGAAGTCATAAAAAGCCTGTGGAAAGTAAATGAAATGTTAATATAATTCGATCACAGTTTCTGACTTAGTTAACACTAAGCTATCAGGTGGAGTCATGACAGTCATAACACTTTTTTACAATCTCATTTGTATCTCATTGCCTTCACAATGTGCCACATTCCATGAAATTTAGCTTGCACATGATTTTAGATGATATATAGAGTAAATATATCATCAGAGTGTTGACCACCCATTCAAAACAAGCAAGCATCTCAATTATCTAAATTTATGACCTTCAAATATTAAAAATTAAGAATAATTATCAAGTATGGCAACAATAGCTTAGGACATTTTATGCTAACATTTAATGAGAATATTCTTGAACTCACAATAATTAAAATTAAAACATGCAATATTGATTTATCTTATCCTATTCAATCTAATTCTTTTCATTTTTCAAAATAGAAAATCATATCCTATAATTCAGAGAACTCTGATACAACAACAACTAACCTTTATCCCACTAAGTGTGGTCGGCTACATGAATCTTTTTTCTTCATCGCGTCCTATTGAGTGTCATATTTTCATTTAAATTTATTAAATTAAGATCATTTTTTATATAATATGTCCTAGTCTTTCTTGGTCAATTTCTTCCTTTCTTAACATAATTCGAATCTAAAACATCTACTTTTCTAATCAGATCATCATATGGACGACGTTTAATGTGACCAAACCATCTAAGAAGACTCTCTCTAATTATGTTCGTCAATGGTGCTACACCAACCCTATCACGTATATATTCATTTCTCTTTTTGTCTCTAAGTGTAAAACTGCCACTCATCCACCTAATTATTCTCATCTCGGCAACACTTAACTTAGTTTTATGCTTGTCTTTTAAAGGCCAACATTCAACGCCATAGAGCATTCAGGTCTCACAATAGTCTTCTAAAATTTTCCTTTCAATCTAAGCGATACTTTTCTATCACACAATAGACTCGAAGGATTTCTCCACTTCAACCAACCAACTTGAATTCTAATAATAACATCTCCATCTATATCACCATCACATTGAACAATAAACCCGAGATATCTAAAGCATTCAGCATTCACTCACACCTTTTAATAATTTGATCACTCATTGTTATAGTTCTGTCACTAGAGCTACTACTACTAAAATTACATTCCATGTATTCAATTTTAGTTCTACTCAAACGAAAGCCTTTAGACTCCAATGTAGACCTCCATAATTCAAGCTTTTTCTGAGCTTTCCTCTCTTCTTATCAAGGAGAAGGTTATCATCAGCAAAACAACATACAACAAGGTACATCCTATAAATTACTAAAACATAAACTTCAACGATAAAAAATAACTCACTTTGAGAAGAAAATTTGAAAGAGGCAACCCATGGCTACTAACAAAGTACATTCTGGCCAATCATGACTAATCAAACCACAAAATTTAATGTACACGAGAGGACGAAACCATGAGATCTTGACTTGATTATTTCAAAAAATAAAATAAAATAAAATAAAATAAAATAAAAAAATTAATCGACTATTTGTGAGCATGGACGTGTCATTTTCTGGAGCCCAATAGAAAAAAGACTATTTGTGAGCATGGATATGTCATTTAGTGAATTTGAACCATACTACACCCAGTAGGTGTCCTCACCCTTCAGTGAATCACCAGATACTGGAGATATGAGGGCAAGGGGGTTGTGTATCAATGGTGAGAGAGTGATACACATGGGAGTAATGCATGTTTTTGTGATGTGGGATGAATCAATTGAGGAACTGAAAATGAGAGTGAACAGAAAGGTGGTGGGATTCAGGTTGAATGTGAGCTAAGGGTGTATACACGGAGAAGAAAGAAAAATGAGGGAATGTTGCTTGCAGGGGCACTTGTGCCAGCTAGTCCCTTGTCTCGGTCTTCATCGACTCTTGAAACATTTACACCATCCACCTCCGAATCAGAACTTGTAAGTGATATGAATCATCCTCATCCTGTTACCAAACTTTAAAGAGGACCTCTCGCAGCAATGCGAGACATTTTACTGATCGTTTTAGGTTGGAATATTACATTGCTAATTTTGTTTCATATTTTAATATATTACCTTTACATGGTGCATTCATTGCATCTTTGAACATTATTTATAACATGAGAGATAGTGCCACTACTACCTGGGAAAAAGGCAGTTGGGTGCAAGTGAATCTTTATAGTGAATCAAACTCCAGAAGGGAAGTTGGAACGGTACAAAGTACGACTGGTGGCTAAAGGGTACAACTAGACATATGACATCGACTTTGATAAAACCTTTGTACTAGTAGTAAAGATGAGTACAACGAGGATACTGGTTTCTTTGACAGTTAAGAGTGGGCGGAGGTTACACCAACTTGTTGTGAAAAATACTTTTTTTTATTGTTAGTTATTGTGGGAGGTATATATGGAGATACCACCTCGATTCGGTACAATTCAGACAGTGGATAAGATGTGTAGGCTGAGGAAGTCATTGTATGACTTGAAGCAGTTTCCTTAAGCCTGGTTTAACAAGTTTAGAAAGGCTATGGTGGGCATGAGATATCATCAAATCAATGCAAATCATATGATGTTCTTTCGATGATATGAAGATCAAACCACTATACTTGTTATGCATGTTGATGACTTCATTATCACCGATGATGATGAGGAAGAGAATGCCAAACTGAAAGTAAGATTGGACAATAAATGTGAGGTGAAGGATCTTGGACGCTCAGATTCCTTCTTGGGATTGAAGTGTCCTGTGGACCTGAGGGAATTGTTTTGTGCCAGAGAAATTATGTGCTAGTTCTCGCGGAAACAAACTTGCTGGGGTGCAAACCTGCAATATGTTCAATTGACTAGAAGGCCAAGCTAAGTGTAGAGGCAAGAGAATCGATTGATCGTGAGAGGTACTAGAGATTGGTGGGCCATCTGATCTATCTGTGTCACACTCGACTCGACATCTCTTTTGCAGTGAACATGATGAGACGCTACGTGCATAATCCAAGGAAGGGCCATATATATTTAGTGTATCAGATTTTGAGGCACCTGAAGGGGTTGATATTCAAGAAGAATTAGCATGTAGACATCGAGAGCTTTTGTGACGCTAACGGAGCAAGTTGTGCAAATGACATAAGATTCACATCAGGATACTGCATGTTCGTGGAAGAGCAAGAAATAGTCCGTAGTAACGAGGTTAACAACAAATGCTGAGTACTGGCCATGGCCTTAGGAGTTCTTGAGATGATGTGGCAGAGAGCCTTGTTGTTCGTGCTCAAGGTGGACCAAAAAACTCAAATGAAATTGTGTTGCGACACAAGTTAGCAATCAACATTGCCAACAACTCGGTTAAACAAGATAGAACCAAACATGTGGAGATCGATAGATTCTTCATCAAGGAAAAACTAAATAATGGTCTACTAGAGCTAAGCCATGTAGCCACTGGAGAGCAAGTGGTTGCCCATCGTGAGGGGGAGTGTTGAGAATTGGATCTTATTTAGGGTCCTATTAGTAAAAAGCGGATTATTGAAGAAATCTAGGGGTTTATTTGTAAAACATTGTAATACCCTATCTACATGTTATGAATGTACAAAGTAGATTTTTTTGAATAATTCTTTCTTTTGTCCTAATGCTCTCGCCATTTTATCCACAACTGCTTCTTGTTTTCTCTTCTCCTTTTCCTCTATATTTATTTCAAACTGTCACTTGAATTATGGGTAGAACATTCATGAACTTTCCATTCATTTTTGGCGTTGCTGTGAGAACCTGTTTCCCACTTTAAACTGTTTCATGGACACTTTTTAATAATATTAATGTTTCCTGTTTTATGAGGTATTATTGAAAATGCTATATGGAAAAATCAAAAGGTCTGAACTTAATATATGAATCATGTTTGTATATTGCCCCTGTGCATCGAAATATGCTATTATTATTAGAGAAATTGACATTCATAGCACACAATTCTTATATATTTACATATTTCACACCTATACTTTTATATTTACACACATAACACTTTAGTGCTTTAAAGTTATACAAGAAAAGGTGTATTTGACTTTTAACTGGTAATAATGCTATTTTTGATGTAATATTAAAGATTTGAGTGCTATGTGTGTGAATATGAATGTTTAGATGTGAGATATGTAAATACGTAAGAATTTGTGTGCTATGTATTTAAATGACCCTTATTATCACCTAGATCGCTATTTTTTAGTATATCATTGTTAATTTTTTTGCAACTGCAGGTTGGTCGCCTAGAATTAATATCCCTTGAGAAGGCACTTAAGGATGCAATGGTCCCTGCAGGAACTGCTAGAGAGGTTACTATTTTTGTTTGCTGACCATGCTTGTTTTCTAGAATTGGAAAGGGCTCTGATGCTATACTATTTAAGGAATCTGAACATTGGAATTTCTATTCTTAGAATGAATATGGAAGGGAGCTTTCTCTCTTTGAGATAGAAGCCACTATAGTGGAGCCAATGTTCCAAAAATTGTACTCTTTCTTATTTGACGATGAAGGCGGCAGATCTAACGAAGAGATGGACAGACCTGTGCCTACTGCAGTATTTATCACCAACTTTGACAAGGTACTAAGTTTAGTTTCATTTTAGAATGGAATAAATCTTAAAATGGCCCTCTGAATACTTGGATGTTTATGTAACGAAATTAGTCCCAAACTTTTTGGGTGCTTCAATTTAGTCCCCTAAATATTGAAAGTTGATGTCAATTAATCTCTCATTAGAAATTATGACACAAAAATGGTCTCGATTTGCAAGATTAATCTCAATTCAATCTCTAAAGAATCAATTGAGATAAATTTTTAATAGTCATCGGATCAAATCGAAGCAATACAAAAACTCTAGGATTAAATTGGCCACATTCAAATAGTCAGGAAACCCTTTAATGATTTAACCCGTTTTATGACTATGTATTCTATGGTGTTCTTTATCCAGGTAATCCATTTTTTGCATCATCAGTCAGTATTTTATTGAGGTCTGTTTGTTATGCTAATTTTTATTGCATCTTCTATGCCTTAGTGTTGAATTCTGTTGTCTCCATTATCCAGGTTAGAATGGATCCTAGGAACAAGGAAATTGATCTGGAAAGTATAATGAACAATAGAGTAGAGAAGCTTACAGATGAACAGTTGAGAAGTCAAGAAGGAGATTATATTTACCGTTATAGGTACAATGGAGGGGGGGCTTCTCAAGTTTGGTTAGGCTCGGGAAGGTAAATGATTCTGTGACCGTTAGCTTGGTTTATTATATCATCGTTCTTGCTTTTGTGCATAATAAAATAACAAGATCATTAAATGCTCTGAAGATAGTATAAAGATTTTCAAAGGAATTTGAGTCTTCATATCTCTATTTATATCAATATATTTATATAAATGTAATGGGCCATTTAGAATCTCTCTTGTTTTTTGTTTTCTATTTTTGTTTTTCTTTCTTTATGTTTTTTTTTTGGATTTGAAACAAAACATGTCTGATATGTTTGATCAAGTTATGATCATTTTTTAAAACACCTAAAAGTTGTTTTGAGTGCTTTTAAATCTTTTTTTTGTACTTTGAAACAAAAAAAATAAAAATATAGTAAAAACCATTAAACAAATATGTTCTTAAAAACAAAGAAAAAAAAAATATTCCAAATAAGCCCAGAGGTCTTCTTACTCTCCACCCTCCGAATCACAATATTTTTTTTGGTTGTTTTAAATACTTGGCATGTCTTACACACTTCAGCTATCTTTTTATTTTTGTATGCTTCTCAGTTCCGGCCAAAATATTTTTCTCTTTTATGTAACAATTTGTTAGGAAATTTACGTTTTTACCTACTCATTGCAGATATGCAGTGATTGATTTGTCAGCTGGTCCTTGTACGTATGGGAAAATAGAAACTGAAGAAGGGAGTGTGAGTTATAGAACGTTGCCACGGCTGTCCGGTATCATCTTTCCAAGAGGTTCAACTGTTGTTAATGTTGATTCCACTAATGACCTGTTGATTGGACACCTCGGAGCTCTTGTTGCAACTACTGTCGAGCATGTTATCGCGCCAGACATCAGGTTTTCATTTGATGCACTATTTTGTGGCTGGCATGTGCTGTATAATATAGACAAAATTTTAAGGGAAATTTACTACATATCTCACACCTAAACTTTCATATTCACGTATATAACACTTTGGTGTTTTAAATCTAAGCATAAAATGGTATATTTCACTTTAAAAAAGTGTTATTAGTGCATATTTTGATGTGGTATTAAAGATTTGAGTGCTATGTGTTTAAATATGAAAGTTTTGTTGTGTGATATGTAAACACATAAGAATTATGTGCTATGTCCCCAAACTTTTTTGTTCCCATCAATTGAGTAGAGTTAAACGGTGCAACTTGCTAGTGGAATTTTTCACTTAGTATTCATTTTTCATACTAATTCCTTGACAATAAATACTGAAACAGGTTGACATTTCACTTTATCTCTTTGACTTTTTCTTTGTATCGCTTTACCTTATCATTCTCCAAATATCTACTTTGTTAAAATTTACAACCCAGAATCAAATTGATGCTTTTGTTTGGCAGTGTTTGATTTTGTTGACTTGGATATTTTGGCTTTTAAGGTTTTGCAGAAGCAGCCAAATATATCCCTTAATGCAAATGGACCTCATCTTTGCGTTGCAGAGGATTTGTTTTGTCTGTCGTATTGATCAGTTCCTTGAAAGATTTTCTTCTTACGTACTGACAAGTTTCATATTTTCTTAAAAACAGATTTGAGACGGTGGATTTAACCACAAGGTTGCTGATACCTATAATAGTCTTGCAAAATCATAATAGATACAACATTCTTCAAGGCGGTCATAATTACAGCATAGATATTAAAGCAATTGAGCAAGAGGTTTGCCACATGATGCTCTTTCATGGTGATGGTCATGATTTATTTTGTAACTCATATGGCTATACAATTTTTTTTTCCTTTTGTACAACTGCCTTCTTTTTTCACAGAGTATATATCTGTTAATGCAAGATTTAATGATTTAAAAAATGAGTAAATAGATAGAGAAGAAAAAAAAAAAGAAACACAACAGCCGGGATGCTTTAGTTTTGAAAAATGTCCACATCAGTGTTGTATTAAGCCTACTTGCGGCTTTAGTAGCCTGCCAATAATATTGTTCAGAAAGACCACATTATTTTACGCTGTTGACTGGATTCAGAGACGGTCAAAACTGATAAAATGTCGGTATTTTACTTTTTCAGCAATAACTAGATTTTGAGACCGTCTTCATTTTTACCTTATTTAAAAAATGACTCTGATTGATTTTCCTATGATATTCTTTAAATAAATCTAGCCATGATTATTATACCTGTAACGAGATTCATAAATCATCACCTGGAGGTTTATCTTTCAGTCTGATGAGTTATTCTTCATATGCACTATCAGTAATAGCTCCGGTCTCACCTGGACTGGCTTGGACCGACCTGGCCCAACCTAAATGGGCGGAAACTGGAGTTTCCATCAAGGTGGATTCCAGTCCCCGGGTGTGGACTGTTAAGCCCCCTAATCATGTATGCCAGGAGAAGAAATAGGTGTTTTTTTTTATTTCTTTTTTTGTGTGCAGGTGGATAATTATGGCTAATCTCTTAGAGGTTGCTGTCGTGTTTTAGATTCCTGCATTTTCTTTTTATCTTCTTATTTTCAGTGGCGCCTAGGGAATGTGAAGAGCCGGTCTAACTCTCAAATTGTAGATAACCCATTGTATTTTATTTGTATTCTTGGAGATTAATCAAATTAGCCCAAATTTGGGTTTTCTCACATATTTCTTGCAATTCATTCGTTGATTTTGGCTGTGATTCGTATCAAATTGTTATCAAAGCAAGATCTTGGAGAGATGACAACAAAGAAAATGGATGCTTTTGAAGAGAGATTGGAAGAAGTCAAATTAAATACGGGACGGGGGAAATATTCTCAACCATATAATGAAGATTTTCCTGCATGGAAATTCAATTTGAGGGCTTGGAGGAGATGAAGAGTTTTATTGTGATGCAATCTAGAATTCCACCGACAGTTCACATTGCTTAACCAAGGTTTGACCGAAGAATCCTTGGCCAAATCTAAAGGGAAAAAGATAGGACTAGAGGAGCATGTGTAGGTAAGCATCCACCATCAAGAACTTCCTCATATGGTTTTGATGGGGGTGTATTAGGGATTTCAGATGGAGGGGGTTGGGTCAAAACAGGAGGAATGTGTTATCCAAGAGGTATAGATGAATATAAAAAAGGATGGAGAGAAACCAGGATAGGGTATGACTGATCGAAAGAGGGATTTTCACCCTATATATATGGGGGAACCACTAAAGGGATTGAAGTTAGGGTGCCGATGCTAGGGTTAAGAAGTTGAAGATACTGATCTTCGAGGAGGGAGACACACATGGTTAGGTGTATCGAATGGAGCGATATTTCTTGGGTAATGGGCTTAATGAGTTGGAGAAGCTCGTGATTGTAAGGTATGGTATGTTTAGAGGGGAACACTCTGACTTGGTTTCTATGGAGAGAGGCTAGATATTTGATTCGCTCTTGGGAGGAATTTAAGGATTTCTTTTTAGAACGTTGTCAAGCCATTTGGGAAGGAGACCTACACGCAATGTTTTGTCTTGACTTAGGAGGGGATTGTCATGGAGTATCGGGAGAGATTTCTTGGGATAGTTTAGCGGGATTTTTGAAGTTGTATTAGAGGAGACTGTCGTGAAGGTCTAAAGCTAGACATACGTGCAACCCTCTGACAGTTGAGATCGTGGGGATTGTGAGAGATGATGGAGCTAGCCTAGGTGGTGGAAGATAAAAACCAGATGGAGAGGGAAGATAAAAACCAGATGGAGAGGGCCAACATAAGCATCACTATGGGAGGATTTCACAGGATCACCTCGACGAGCCTGACACCGAGGACTCGGATGGTGTCCTTTTAGAGGGAGGCCGCTAAGGAGGAATATGGGGGCCCATGCAGGGGTCAACATAAGCATCTTACAGAGGCAGATGGGCAGGACAAAAGAGCAAAGGGATTATATTTCTAATGTGATGAGAGGTATGAGTTAGGCTATCAGTGCAAGGATCACACACTCTAGGCCCTTATACGTTGTGATATGGAGGAGGCATATACTGAGGAGTTGGAGGAAGAAGTGGAGGGAGAGGAGCACTTACACCTTGATGTAGCGAGGGTGTCCCTCAACTTAGTTATGAGATTTACTCCAAAACGCTTCATGAAGGGGAGGGGATAGATTGGGGAGTAGTCTATAGTGTTGTTGGTCGATAGTGGGACTACTTATCGCTTCATCTCAAACCAAGTCGTGGATCAGTTGAGGTTGAAGTTACTATATACGAGAAGTTTTAGGGTCATGATGGGGACAAAAAAAAGGTGGAGAAAAGCTAAGGAATTTGCAGGGGATTGATGTTAACACTACAAGACATACAAATGGTGGTGAACGTCCTTGTCTTGGACTTGAGAAGTACTGATGTGATTTTGGGGATGAAGTGACTACAGACAATCAGAGAGACGAGGGTGACGTGAAAATTCATGACTATAAATATTAGGCTGGAGGGGAGGAAGGTAGTGTTAAGAGGGGATGCTAGTTTATGCAGAACCATGGTATTTTTCAAAATCATGGTTAAGATGATATGAAGAGCAAGATTGGGCTACTTGGTGAAGTTGCAGTGTCTAGAGAAGATTCGTGATCCAAAGTCAGTAGAGTTTCCTAAGTATGTTCAACATCTTCTACAACAATTTTCTGACATCTTTTAACAACCTAGTGGTTTATTGCCATCGAGGGAGCACGAACATGTCTTTGCATTGAATGAAAGGGTTCCTCTTATCGATATCGGATCGGACTGTTATCTCCAGATTCAGGAGGGCGAGATAGAGATTTTGATCAAGGATATGCTCGAGGTAGGGATTATCAGGCACAACGTGAGCTCTTTTTCTATTCTAGTCTTATTAGTGAAGAAGGATGGTAGTTAGAGACTTTGTGTCTATTACACGACCTGAACAATGAAACTGTATTTGACAAGTTTCCTTTTTTGGTGATTGATGAGCTGTTAATGAGCTGTTAGATGAGTTTTTTTGAGTTTTTTGGGTAGTCATCTGCTCGAAGATTGATATGAAGTCGAGATAACATCATTTCAGGATGAAGCCACCTACTGTGGACAAGACAACTTTCAGACTCATGAATGACATTATAAGTTTCTAGGATGTCATTCAACATTACTAACGCTCCAACCATATTTTAGTCCCTCATGAATAAAATTTTTTAGCTTTACCTTAGGAAATTCATTCTAAAATACAGAGGTAGAGCATATGAGACATTTGAGGATAATACTTGAAACTTTGAAAGAGCATCAGTTGTACAACAACCTAAAAAAAATATTTCTTTGCACAATGACAAATGGAGTACCTAGAGCATGTGGTGATCAGAGCCGAGGTAGCAGCGGATCAATCCAAAGGTTGAGGTTATGTTGTGTTGGCATTTGCCTAGAAGCTTGAAGGAGTCGAGAGGGTTCGTAGGTCTCATCAGGTACTGCCAAAAATTTGTGAAAAGGTATGACATGATTACATGGTCGCTAACGGAGGAACTGAAGAAAGACGGTTTCATGTGGGCGGAAGTAGTGACACACTCCTTCGAACAATTGAAGAGGGTTATGACCATTGTGCTAGTATTAACACTTCCAGACTTCAGTAGATCATTTGTGGTATTGACAGATGTGTTAGGATGTGGATTTGGGCAGCACTCATGCAAGACCAAAAACCTATTGTCTATTTCAGTTAGGGGCTCACTGTCAGGGTGAGCTCAAATCTATATATCGGTGGGAGTTCATGGCTATTTTCTTGGTCATTATGAAGAGGCGTCTCTATCTGTTAGGGCGACACTCTGTTATCAAGATAGATTAGAGAAGCTTGAAATATTTGTTGGAGGAGAGGATGGTGACCGAGGAGCATTAGAGGCGACTATCCAGTTTACTTAGATATAATTTTGAGATCCAGTATTGCCCAAGACTGGAGAATAAGACCGAGGATGCACTATAGAGGAGGATGGCGGAGCCCCAACTGACAACTTTATCAATATTCATGGTCTAAGATTAGGAAGCCTTGAGATAGGAGAGCGAACAAGATGAGGGGATGAGAAGATCGGGGCAGAGTTGTGGTACAACCCCAAACTGTTGCAAGAGTTTCATGATACCGTGGTTGGGGACACTCAGTGGTACACAAGCCATACAATCGATTGTCAACAAAGCTATATTGGATGAGGATGTGTAGAGATGTAGTGGACATGGCGACGAGATGTGATGTGTGTCAACGACACATGCAATCGACTATTGCACAAGTAGGGTTACTGCAACCTCTAGCTTTTCCTGAGAAGGTCTAGGGGGAGGTGAAGATGGATTGATAGAGGGGTTGTCACTGTCTGAGGAATTTACTTTGATATTGGGGATTGTAGACACTTCTTTTCATTGTGACACCCCTACATCGTTGTCCAAGTCGTTGCTATATTCATATGGTAAGTGTTTTGTTTGCATGGTATTCCAGAATCCATTTTATTAGACAGGTACAAGGTGTTCCTTAGCCATTTTTTAAAAGAACCGTTCATATTACAAGGGACAATTCTGAAGAGGAGTACAACATATCATCCTTAGACAGGTGGCCAGACGAAGGTGGTCAACAAGAGTGTGAATACATATTTACCTTGTTTTGTATTAGATACACCAAAGTTTTAGGCAAGGTTGATTGCTTGGGCTTAGTATTTGTACAACTTTCATACCATACTATAACACATAACACTACTTTCAAGATTTTGTATGGGCGGAATCCACATCATCTGATACACTATGGACATAATACTACACCAGCATCCAGTATAGTCCAATAATTGAAGGGAAGGGACATGATGATATTGACAGAGCGCAAGGGATATCTACTGAGGGCCCAACATATGATGAAGAGTAAGACTGATGAACATCAGAGGGAGGTACAATGTGAATTCGGTGACATGAGTTATTTGAAGCTGAGACCTTATTGGTAGAATGCACTGACAAGGAGGAGTGAGAAGCTTTCCCTATGATATTTCAACCCCTATGAGATTGTGGCACACATTGGGACAATGACATACTATCTGAGGTGATCATCATCATCATCATTGCATTCATTATTTCTTGTATTACTGCTGAGGCGTGTTGTAGGAGACCACACACTCTCGTTTTCACTACCTCTGACGCTAACAGAGGACATGGAGGTGGTTTTGGAGCTTTTGGAGCTAGAAGGGTTGCGTTGATGGGTGATTCGAGCAAATGACTTGATAGTTAAATAGCAACTTGTGAGCCTTATGAAGTGATCCAGAAATATTTTTCATCATTCCACCTTAAGGACAATGTGCTTCTTTGGGAGGGGTGTATTGCTACGCCAGTCCCTCTTGGATTGGCTCGGCCCGACGCAGCCTAAGGGGATGAAAACCCTAGTTTTTGCTTGGGAGGATTCCAACCCTTGAGTGGGGCCCATTAAGATCCTAATTACGTATGCGATGAGGGGAATTGTGAGGGGTTATGGGCTGAATTTTTAAATGTGTTCTAGTGGGTGTTTATTAGGGTTAATCAAATAGGGTTTGCTTTTATGTTTTGGATTCCTGTAATTTTCTTTTTGTTTTCTTGTTCCTAGGTATTCTACTTCTCTAATTGTAGATCATCCATTGTATTTTATTTGTTTGCTTGGAGATTAATCAAATTAGCCTAAGTTTGGTTTTCTTACATATTTCTTGCAATTTATTAACTGATTTTGGCTCTGATTGGTATCGCACTCTTATCACCAAAAATATTTGCAGGAAATAGGCTATTTTTTTCATTTGAAAAGCAAATACATGATATGTTATATGAGGAGGAAATGGAAGGAGTGAAGGTCCAGAACATTGGTAGATTGTTAATGGTTTAAAGTCAGATATAATTGTTCTTTTTAAGTGAAATTAAGAACATATCATAAATTTTTTATCTTTAAATTGACAATTTACAATTAAAAATGCTTGGATATTACAAATTCTAGAGAGCCCGCAATAAGAGTCCTATATGATTAGCATGGAGTTATCTGAGGAAGGATGAGTTTCTTAAACAATATTGCTGTCTTTAAATTGAACATATCATATTTTTTTTATCTTGAAATTGACAATTTACAATTAAAAATGCTTGGATACTATAAATTCTAGAGGCCCCGTCAATAAGAGTCCTATATGATTAGCATGGAGCTATCTGAGGAAGTATGAGTTTCTTAAACAATATTGCTATATCATTTTGTTTTAGAAAACTTCCAACCAATGCATTTGTAGATCTTGGCTCGTAAATGGATGTAGTCCTTATATAAGTAAAGGTTAAACATATAGGATAGCTGGTCAACTGGGAAAATGTGAACCCATTTTCAGGAAGAAATATCACTTGGTTTTAACTAGGATACAGCCATTGACTCTCGAAGAAGTTATTTGTTAACACTCTGATTTCTAGGTTGTTTCTAAAATCATAAATTTCCATCATTTTTGTTTCACCTTCACTAGTAATTTTGCATATTTGATGAAGCATTGCTTTCATCGTTCTTCAACATTTTGAAAGCGCTTAAAGAATTTTATTTGTAGCACTCAAATGAGCTGCGTTTTGTTTTATTTATCTTCACTAATATTGCTCTTGTCGAAACTATTTCTTAATGGCATATTTCTCCACCTTGGTTATTTTTTTCTAGCCATGCTGTTCAAATAATCCTTTGTATTTTAGTATTGAATATCTATTGACTTCGTACAAGAAAACATTTATTACTGTTGGCTTATATGTTTGCCATCATATTATATTCTAAGAATAATAATAATAATAAGATTTTGTGGGAATCCATTGTGACTAAAAGAGATATCATAATGACACTTACCAATCTATTCTCTTGGAGCTTTATTTTTGCATATGATCCATGTGCGGACTGTCCTTATTGCTTTCTTTAGCTGAATGAATATTATTTTTTAGGTAAAAAAGATGGTACATGCTGGACAGGAGGTAATCTTTTTTAGTGGATCCTATGCATTACATCGCCACGAAAAGTTAGCAATTGCAGTTTCAAAGGCTATGCGAGCTCATTCTCTTCAAGAGACAAGGAAAGATGGACGGTTTCATGTTCACACTAGAACATATTTAGATGGAGCCATCCTTAAGGAGGTTATCGATTTTCTTTAACCAATTTTCTCTGTTACCTCAAAGTTCTCACAAGCTCTGCTCTTTTTATTATTGACGAAGATATCTCAATTATCTTTGAACATCTTGGTTGGTTACTATCTTTGCCAAAACTGATAGCCTTATTATATTGCTTTTCACTAAGAGAACTATTTGAAGCATAGAAAATAAATGTCTTAATGCACTTTGTAATTAGAATTTTGTGATAGGAATAATATGCAAATTGGCAAATAAAATGCATCATTCTTCCTATTTTACTTGCAACTACTTGCTCATGTGGCACCATGGAATTATCATGTTTTTGTGTCCATGATGCCACATTCAAACTAACCTCTAATGCACTTTTTTTAGCACATTCAACTAACCTCTATGTTATAGGTTTGGGTTGGTCGTAGACTTAACCATTTAGAAGCCTCTATTTTGACCTCTTCAAGGATAGTTTTGACACCCAAAATAGACAGGTTATTATAAATTTATGAAAAATTATCTCTTTTTTTTTGCATATCTCTAAAATGATCGAAGTATTTTTTATAAAATTCAATAATATGTAATGATCATTTGGATATATATTGTATACTTACTAATATGGAAGTATGTTAGCATTTATAAATTAATTCATTAATGAATCTAAATTATCCTTAGTTTTATTGCAATTACAACAACAACAACTACAAAAAGAAGCCTATTAAGTCGGGTTGGCTACATGAATTTTTTTTCTCCAATCGCTATTCATTCAAATTAAGTTATTGTAGCTAATCCGTTTCTCCATTTAACAAAGAGCTTGGGTACAGCCTAAAACTGAAGGAAGAAGGAAAGAACTGAAAAAGCTCAAAATTTTAAGTAAAATTTGATTTTCTGCATTTCTTCTGATGAACCTAGTTAAGGTTTATAAGCTAGAAGACTTGAATGAGGAGAAATTTTTTGTGTAAAATTTTTATTTGAATTTATTGTGAGTTAGATTTAAAGCGTGAAATTTAAAAATTGATATAAATTGAAGAAAATGCTACTTTATGAAGTTGCTTACAAAAAAATAAGACTTTCGATAAAAAATCAATAAGTCCATTTTAGGGAGGATCCAATAAATGGCAGTGAGATGTGCAATCACTAACACGGGGCAAATTATTTGAGGCCAGCCCATTTTTTTGTGAATTTTTATAATTATATTTAACTATTTCGTGTATGTATGTAGACTTACTTCATAGAGTATGCTTATAGTATATGATGATAGAAAATAGTCAAGTGCATTTTACATTTTACCAAATTATAATAATTACATATTATTTTTCGATTGCGTAAGTTTTATGATTTTTCATGCAAATTTAAGAAATCACATATCACTTTATGCTAACACATGTTGATATTTATTGATGGCATCTTGCTCATAAAAAAATATTAGTATATTTTAAATACTATGATATTGATTCTAAAAGTAGTTCTATAAAAGGCATGTTATGTTGGATAGATTAGAAAATGATGATTACAATCTCAAGGAGAGGTGATGATTTTTTAAAATGAGTCTTAATAGGAGCCAACAGAGATTTTGAATTCTTGATAATTGCCATATTGGACTGGTTCAATCTTTATTAAGAGGTTATTTTAGAATAAGTTCATTTATCAATGATTGTTATTAGGGGTGAGCATTCGATTGGTTAGAATGGATCAATTTTCAAATTGATTAACCTGATTGCAATCAAAATTCAAAATAAGAAAAAACAAACCAATCAAAATTTTGATAAAATTGATTCGATAGAGCTAAAGTTTAATTTGGTTTTTTAAAATGAGTCTTATTAGGAGCCAACAGAGATTTTGAATTCTTGATAATTGCCATATTGGACTGGTTCAATCTTTATTAAGAGGTTATTTTAGAATAAGTTCATTTATCAATGATTGTTATTAGGAGTGAGCATTCGATTGGTTAGAATGGATCAATTTTCAAATTGATTAACCTGATTGCAATCAAAATTCAAAATATGAAAAACAAACCAATCAAAGTTTTGATAAAATTGATTCGATAGAACTAAAGTTTAATTTGATTTGATTATGAATAAACAGAAATATAATTGTTTATTATAGTTTGGTTATGAACAAACATTACAAATTGCATATCTTACATATATAATATCGATTTAGTTTCATGAATCCTCTATATATTTCTATCATGTGTTGCATATAATATAAATTTTAGTTTTTTTAGTTTGTTCGACGTGAATTTAAAATAGAATACAAAAATTTAATTAAATTTTGATTTTTTGGTTTATTCCATTAAATGAAAATTAAAACCAAAACAATAACTAAAATTGAATGGTAAGCTTTAAAAAATAAAAAATCAAATCGCACTTTTTTAATTGAACCAAATTGATTAAACATCTTTGATTTGGTTTGATTTTTTGGTTTTGACCAAATAAAACACACCCCTAATTATTATGGGTTGAAGATCTAAGTGAAAATCAAATGATATAAATATTCTGAAGCCTATACAAATATTATTTGATGCTTGTAAGGTTATGATTAGTAATAATGAGAAAATAATGAAAGTAAAGCAAATAATTTGACTAATATTTGTTTGATCCATTATAGGAAATGAATTGACACTTGAATATTGTCTTTCATTTTCATTTAAACATTAATGCTCAATGCTTATGATTTAGTCTTTTATTTATTTAATTAACAAAGCATGGTCTAAGTTAAAGTCGATTGCATTATCCTTGCTATGTTTATGAATATTAATACTCATATTAGTTTAAAACACTTACAAGCATTTTTTTTTTCTATTCTTGTGTTTTGAATTTTATTTTAAAATCATTTTATATCGCAGACTATTCTAGGGTTTGTAATTTTCAAGGTGAAAACAGATGGTTGTACAACTAAAATAAAATTTCCAAAACCACAATTAACTTAAAAAATAGAATCATCCAGATATTTCAAAAGAGTTACTAGCAACAACAACAAGTACTACTACAACATCAAACCTTTATCCCACTAAGCGGGGTTGGCTATTTCTCCTTTATGTCCTATTGAGTGTCAAATTTTCATTTTATTCTAATAAATTAAGATCATTTTTTATACAACATGCCCAAGTCTTTTTAGGTCCTCCTCTATCTTTATTAGCATAAGTTGAATCTAAAACATTCATTGCCCTAACTAGATCATCAAATAGTCGATGTTTAATGTGAACAAACCATCTAAGACTATTCTTTTTAATGTTGTTATTGAAGTTACACCAACCTTTTCATGGATACATTTGTTTCGCATTTTTTCTCTTAGTGTCAAGCCACTCATCCACTTAAGCATTCTCGTCTCAACAACACTTAACTTATTTTTATGTTTCTCTTTTATATGCCAACATTATGTGCCATCAAGCATTTCAGGTCTCACCACCATCTTATCAAAATTTCTTTTAAGTGATACAATAGGCCCGATGCATCCCTCCATTTCAACCATCCAACTTGAATTCTACTAATAACATTGCACTTACATCACCATCACTTTGAACAATATGTTCGAGATATCTAAAACGTCCATTCTTTTTAATGATTTGATTACCTATTATTATAACCCTGCCACTAGATCTACTACTACTACTACTAAAACTACCTTCCATGTATTCAATTTTAGATTCACTCAAACGAAGACCTTTAGACTCTAATGATATCTCCATAAATCAAGTTTCCCTGAATTCTTTCTCAAGTCTTCGAAAAAAAAGATATCATCAACGAAAGGTATATACTAAGGTACATACTCGGTAAATGTCCAGTAAGAGCATACCTAACTGCAAAAAGTTATGGGTTTAAAGATGATCCCTGATGTAATCTAACTGAAATAGGAACTTAAAATAAAGCAATTATAAATGAATTACTTTTTCTCAATGTTGGCCGCATATTTGATATACATTTTCTTTTTCATCACTCATTTCTAATCCAAAACCCAAACCTAAAAATTTTAGTTTAAAATTTGTTTGGTTATCAATGAATCCATAATACTCATATTTTAAAACTAAAATAACATAGTGGAAAAGAAAATAATGTGTGCGCTAGTCAAATACATTATTATTCATTTGATAGTGTATTATTCAAATATAATCAAGAAAGCTCATGACGTTCATTACACCTTATTATATCATTTATATGTTTATATTCTCTTACATATCGCCCATAGGAGCATCATTTAAAATCTTTACTAATTAAAATACGTCAATATGAATATTATTTTTCAGTTTACATGCAATAATACATTAGCATCTTTTTCTAGTTCCATAAAGATATGAGCTCTATCGGCTAATATGCACAAACAAAATTTCTTATAATTCATGTCATTTATTTTTCGTACCATTCAGTTCTCTCTCTATCTCTCTCTCTCTCTCTCTCTCTCTCTATATATATATATATATATATATATATGTTTTTTATGGAAGCCGTAGGGCAAATTATTTTGAAATAAAAAAGGATACAAAAAAGTTGTATGAGAGGACCCAATAAATGATGTCATACTCATACGATACATGGTACAAAAATATCCCAACAAAAAGATATAAATGACTAAAAAAAAGAAAACATGAAAAAACAAGTGTCTATGGACGAGGGCATTTAGACCTGCCTCCTTCCTCTAGTTCTTGGAGCGGATCCAGATAGCAAACTCTGAAGTGTTGTTCCATTGTCAGGAGTGACCATGGTATCATTCATTAAGTTTCCAAGTTGAACAGTGTCCCCAACCTTCTTCCTCTGTCGAGAAGTGTAAACTTGTCATTATTCTTCTAAAGACTGTTCAGTCTGATCCGTAGAAGGAAAGACAATTGCAGCGATGGGTTCCTAAGTTTGTGTAGGACAGTCTTCCAGAACTTAGGAAACACCTGCTCTCTTAACAGGTAGTTCTACTAACTGATTAATCGCAGTAAGATGGTTTGTGTTTGGCTCTAAATCTTCCTCATTAGTATTAGGAGACTCCTTTTCCGTCATCTGAATGTGAATGTTCGCTTCATTCCTATTTTCAATCACCTCATAGAGGGGAGCATGAACACCCTCCACGGTAGGTAGAGTCTGAGAGGGTAGTATGTCCACTCCAGTAGAAAAAGGGGTAGTGACCACGTCCTGCCTTCCAGGGGCATTCACCTGAATCTTCTCCAACAAACGACCCTTATCAATATTTTTCGAAACAATGTCAGTAGACAAACCATTTTGCACCGTATCCACCATGGGCATAACAATAGGTATCATAGGTAGTGAGGAAGAGGGTATAACCTCCACAGAAGAAATAGGAGGTGGGGCTACAACAGACCGAAGATGGGGATGCAACCGATAACCGAATGAAGAGCTATGACCAAACATTCCACAGTGATAGCAGTATTGGGGATGAGGTCCCATCACAATTTTCTGCCAATAACCCTGATGAGGGGAGTCAATCCAAATCTTCCCAGGAAAGGGTTGAGTGATGTCGCGCTCTACAAGCCCACAAGCTTCAGATGACCTGGTTGTATCAAGCGTGGGAGTATCAACCTTCGGCGGTTTCCCAAAAGCAGTTGCCAATGTATAAAGGGTTTCATAATTGAAGTGATGCACCTTGAGCCCTGAAAAATTAACCCAAACCGGGATAATAGGAGATTCCAATTTAGGATCAAAATCCACTGTCCATTTCAGAATTTTCATAAACGATTATCAATTTTGAGAACTTTTTGAGCAAAGAGTTGGGTATAATCTGCGTCATTTAAGAGTTGAATGAGAACGTGACGACCATCTAGCGAACCAATTTTCCAACTCCCTATGAGCTTAAGAGAATCGAAATGCTTTCTAATAATCTCAAGTTTGGGATTTCTATATGGAAATTTCCCAACAAGAGTACCTCATTAGTGAGAAACAAAGCGAGTTTGTCATTATTTCTTCTCAGTATTTTAATAAAGGTATAACCACCTCCAGATTCATGTGCATCATGAAATTCTTGAGGGAGGAAACAGGAACGATCGCCTGCTCTGGGAATATAGCCGCCACATAACTCGGGGCCATTCCCCCAAACCGGAACCAGAAACAGGGAACGCAAATCTCGCAAGCAGAAGAAAAAGGCCACAGACTGTGACCGGGGAAGAAGGTTGTGCCGGAATATCACAGCGTAGGATAGGTAGCAAACGAGAACGCAATTTGCAACTGGGGACGAAGGCTCGACCGACACACTCGAACGCAAACGACAACGAAACAGACGACGACGGAGAACGCGCAGTCTGCGACGCGACCATGCGAGTCTGAGTCTGAAGCGTACGGAATAGTAGCACGGCGAGGAAGATGGAGTGAAAGCCGGAGGCTAACGCTAGCAGAGGAATTCAATATATATATATATATCTGTGCCCATCTGTGCCCCAGCCGTGGCCTGGTTGGTAGAGCAACCTTTTTTAAGGTCGTAAGTCTCCTCAGTATGCCGGTAGTGAGGGTGGTTCTCGAATAGTTAAGCATATGAGAAAGGCTGGGGGCTCGTATAATAGCCTCCAACTTTTCTTAAAAAAAATCTATATCTATAATTAAAGTTTAACAATTTAATCTTGTTGAAAATTGTATAATATTCACAATAGAATAACCATTATATTAAAGAATATATAAATCATCATAAAAGTGTGTAGTTGCATTTAATAATTATAGTAATTACCTATGCAATTGGTTTAGAAGAAGCCAAATATTATTTTTCTCAAAAATAAGAATGCTCGCTCAATCTTTAATGTGCAAACACAATGCCTCGGTCAAAGAAATTGAGGTTCAAATTTATAGTCTCAAAGGAAAAGGAAGAGCTAAAAATGTGATGGGATTGAATTTAATGTCGAAGGGATAGAAGATCAATAGACCAAAGATAGAATCTGTTGAAGATTTTCAGAATGATTTTACAAAATCTCGAGTAAACACCACATGCAACACTTGGGGTGAATGGATATCTAAGAAAGATTCATAAACCGGGCCAAATAGGTTAAGGTTCAGATTGTTAGTGAGGTTGGCATTGATGTTAATGGTAAACTTTCTTTGGATTGTTGCATTTTTAATTTTTTAAAAACCATTAGTTCTATCAGCTTTTACAATGTATGATAACTTTGTGTCTACCACTTGGTCATGCGTAGATTTTTAACAACATGGAATAGGTAACTTCGTAATATGTCTACATTTTAAAATGTGTGAGGTTTTGATCAACACATACTTTATGAATGTATTTTCTTTTCATGATGAAATGTCTTGTAACTATGCTCCTGAATCAAATTTATTAGTACCTTCCGATACTGTCTACTAATACTCTTGAATTTTTAACTACTTCGTCAACTTTAAAATGTAATATATGCATTGAGGCTGATGGAGGTATCAGCATGCCTATACCTGCATTTTTATCATTTGCATTTACATACATACCACCCAATACTTCTATATTTACAAATAAAACACCTAAACTTTACTTTTTACATTTATACCACTCAAAATTTTCAAATCACATCAAAATTACCACTATTTTAACTTCTATAAAATGAAATACACATTTTCCTGTATAAGCAAAGTGGCATATATATAAAAATTTGTCTTCGGGTGTTAGATATGTAAATACATATGAATTCAGTGGTATGTATGTAAATTTTTTTGTTTTTAATTAATGCTTCAAACTTTTCTATGATATCTTCTTTGGGTATGATCTGTTACAGGAGATGGAGCGTTCTGCTGATATGCTTGCTGCTGGTTTACTAGAGGTTGCTGATCCTTCTCTTGCAAGCAAATTCTTCCTTCGTCAGGTTTGCGTGGTCATTAGAGGATGGATACTTTTGGTCTTGTCATCTGATTTTTTTTTTTGCTATGGTTCTGTATTTAGGATTTACCAGCACATCAATTCTCTTTTATTGAATCGTAAAGTGTCAAAATAGTCCCCATACTGTTCACATGGGATCATTTTAGACTTAGAGTCTATAAAAGTGTCAAATTAGTCCCCAAACTTTAAATTGTGGATGAAATAGTCGTCCGTGGAGACGGAGACTATTTTAGCCCATATTAAAAGAGTTTGAGGACTAAATTGTCACTTTATTGACTTTTGCAAAAAGCTAGGGGATTATTTTGACACATTTCTCATTTAAGTAGTCATTATTTCAGGCAAAATGTTATTGCTTAATTTTCAGCATTGGATGGATGAATCAGACGACATACAAGATGCCATTATTAAGCACAAGCCACTGTGGGAGTCATACTATCCTCAACGTAGCAAAGATAAAAAGCGAAGTGGGAAAAAAAAGCAAGGGAATGTGTACAAAACTTACGGGACCAGAGTAGTCCCTGTGTAAGCATTTAAGCATATCCTATTATCTCTGACTGATAGTAGCTCATCAAAAGTAAATTTTCTTTCAATGGTCAAATGAAAAGTGAAACTCGCTTTCTAGTGACCAAGTATTCCCTTGTTATCATTCTTACTAGTTTTTTTTTATGATCGCCTTTTTCAAGATTATTCAGCAAGCATGGGAAGGCATGCCATATTGCAAAGAATGTATGATCATACTTCCCACATGGATTTTAGATGGCATATAGAGCAGAACCAGATTATATCCAGGGTGGACAATTGCCTACCCTAGAATATGAGATTGTTCTATATAAGTAATAAAATTTAATTATTTTTTCTTATATAGTTTAGACAATTTAGTAATTTTGACTTTATTAAATATATTTTTTATTCAATATTTAAATGAAATTAATGATTCGGTGATTTTGCCTACTCTCAAAATAAAGCTGATTCCGCCATTGAATTAACATAGATTAATACTTTGAGAACTTTTGATGATGAAATATCCTTACAACAGGAATATTTGAAGAATACATGTGTTTTTTCTTCCATATATAATCTGCATGCAAACATATACAGGTGCCCACTTCGTTGTATGGGTGCATGCATCGCACATGTATTCATCAGTCATATATGTAAGAACAGACATATTATGTGTTAAATGCTACCTTCTTATTTATATTTATTTACAGCGAACAACACTCATACAATTTTATCTTGCAGTTTGATGTGATTAGTAAACCAATTTTTAATATATTCAATATGTAAAATCCTTAAATGCCAATTTGAGGGTGAAAAAACTGAAAGACGGAATGGGAAAGTGAGGGAAGCTAGGAGCAACACCTATTGAAGATAGGATAGCGGGGAAAAGAGTACGGTGAAAATACAATATTAGATTGCTATATAAAATTAGTGTTTCAGGATTAGGATGAGTCAAAGGTCACATGTTTAGAAGTTGTGCAAAATAATTTGCGCATGATATATGCTTATAATCTGACGTAGTACAATAGTTGAGATCAGACTAATGATAATGTGACATTCTCTCTTGTCCAAGTGTTCATTTAATTGCAATATATTCATTCCAGTGTGATGGGTACGGCTCTATTATTGGGAGCTATATATATCCATATCGAGCGCCTTCGCTTGGTACTTCATCTATTTTTTCACTGGATTTTCTGATGTATAAAAAGGATAAGGTGGCAGAATTCCTGAATTTTTTGACTTTTCTTTTGATGATCCTCTTCAATTGAAAATTACCTGTTGTTTCCTAAAAAAGGCTGAATTCATCTTTGTTTTCTCAAGGATCTGCATGAAAATATCAAAAGTTATAGTTAACCAATATTTATACATTGAAATGTATATACAAATACAATCATTTTAGTCAGAATGTTATCATTAGATTGTTGGAATGATGTTGTAAGTTAATTCTTTCTCAAAATGCTGAATCAAAACAAAATATTCTCAGTGATTTTGCATGACCACCACTTTAAAGCTGGTCTGAAAATCTGTTTGCTATATTTACCTGGTTTTTGCTACTCTTGATAGGTTTGTGCTATCTATGGCTGGTGTTGATGCTAACCTTTTGATGGAAGATGAAAACCTTGTGTGGACGAGCAAGGATGTCGTTATTATCCTTCAGCACGATAATGAGAAAATACCTTTAAGGTAACTTAAATATATCTCATATAAGCATTTTTTTGTTGAAGAATCTGATTAAAACTTTTTTATTATAAGCAGAGAAATTTTTCCTCAATCTGTTCTTTGTTGACAAATTTTCTTTATTCTGGCTTTAGAGTTTATCTGATTAGTATGATTTTGTCACTATTTGTACCAGTAATGTGTCAAATTAGTCCCCGTACTTTTTTAACATGGGCTGAAATAGTCTCCAAAAAAATATATTTTAGCATCGTTTAAAAGAGTTTGGGGACTAAATTGACACTTTTATAAAATCTAGGACTAAAATGATTCCCTACAAAGAGTCGGAGGACTATTTTGACACTTTTTATTTATAGACTAGTTATAGTTTTTATACTTGAAGATACTGGATTCTCAAAATACTAGACTTTTAACTGCCAACTTTTATCAAAATACTGCTCAACTGTTTTCAGATGTACTCATGTTTATCATGGGATTAATAAACATTACTAGATTACCAATGAGAAAGTGCATGCAGAATGAAGTTAATATAAATTTATATACAATCTAGCTGAACCTCTTAACCATGCCTTAAGATTTTTTCAAACAATCTAATCCCCGAGTCAACCCAAATCACGACTCAGAAGACAAATATTTTATTGTTGAATTTTAGAGAATACAATAAGACTCTTGGACGGGAAGCAACACAAGCATGTAAAACAATAATACAAAGTGTTATGACTTAACAAGTAATAAAATAAGTGTGGCCAAAGGCAAGAATGGACAATGTTGGACGATGGCTGAGGGCCCCGCGGTAAGTCTGAAAAAGGGGGTCAGTGGCGGCTAGAAGAACTTTGGTGAAAATGTCATTACTGAAAACCGGTAGAAGTGTGTAGGAGGGGGCCTGCGGCTAATGCGGAAGACGCCAGAGAGGTGAAAAACCCACTGGAAGCCGTTGGGAAGTGGATGAGGTGACTGCTGAGTGAAGTTGAGGGATCCTGTGGCTTTTTGAAGGATACCGAAGGGTAAGACTATGACTGGGACGGCACAGGAGGGTGAGCTGAGGTGCGGTAAGGGGACAATGACTGCTAGGAGGAGCATGAAGGGCTGCTGCTTGCTGAAGGATGTTGGGAGGTGCGATAGTGGGAGGGGGTGGTGTTGGACGGTGAATGGCAATGAGATATGGTGGGGGTAATCACCACCTCAGGCGAGGTATAGCTGAAGCACCACTTGCAACTGGATAAAGCCCTCATAAGGGAGACGTCGTAGAGGCAAATATGCAACCAGAAATCAACACCAAAGAAAATTGATTAGACTTAAGAAAAAAACATGCATAAATAGGGGAAGAAGAGAGACAACAAAGGCAAGATCCTAGGAAAGGAATGAGCTGAAGAATGGAAGGGAGAATCGAACAACGGCTAGGAGTGACGTGCAACAGCTAGGAGCAACGGAGGAATTGGGCACGAGAGAATTGAGCAATGAAGGAAGTATCATTTAAGTGATCTGGACTAGTTCGGTCCAGCGGGCCTCCCTTCCTCCTGCGGTCTGGAGGGCTTAACAACCCCACATCAATCTTTTGGGGTTGGGGGGAGCTTCGACTGCATTTGTTGAAGCTTCGGGTGATCGAATTATGGTGTCAGTTCTGCGTACGCCGGTAAGAAGAATTGGAAACTTCACACACATTTTTCATGAAAGATTTCTTCTGACATACCTCATATACTATAAGCATCTAAGCCGGAGCAACAAAGACAAGGGGAAATTGAATTTAGCTGAAATTTTGTAGTCTCCGACAGGTCAATCTTGTAAGTGTTGTCATTGAATTTCTTAAGTACCTAGAAAGGTCTATCTGTGCGGGGTTTGTGTTTTCCAAACGCTCCTATGAGAAATCTCTCTTTCTTTAGTCAAATCCACATGAGGTCTCCTTCTTGAAATGTTACATTTTCTTGGACTTGTTTGCCTGAGTCTGATATTTGTGATTCTGTTTAGTAATTCTCTTCCCAACTTCCTCGTGGAGTTTTTGCATCTCGCGACTACGTTCGGTAGCATCCTCGTGGATCTCTGACGTGGGTAGAAGTGGTACTAGCTCTAGTGGAGCAATTGGGTTTTCCTGTACATGATCGCGAACGGAGTGCATACCATAGTCTGACTAGTGGATCTGTTGTACACAAAATCTAATTGGGCGAGCATTAGATTTAACTGTTTAATGCTCTCCCCTACAAAGCATCTCAACAGATTCCGAGGCTTCGGTTCACCAACTCGGTCTGGGCATCTGTTTGTGGGTGTGTTGCGGAGCTGAACTAAAGTTTAGTGCCTAATTTTCCCCACAGTCCTTTAAAAGTGGCTCAGAAATTTGACCTTCCTATTAGAAGTGATGGTCTTGGGAATTCCGTGAAGGCTCATGATCTCTTGGAAGTACAAGTCGGCAATATGCGAGGTGTCCAATGTTCAATGGCAGTGTACAAAATGCGGCATCTTTGAGAAACAGGCTACTACCACCATCACGAAGTGCTTGTTCCGTTGTGTATGCGGTAGTCCCACACAAAGTCCATGCTGATATCTACACATGTTGCCTCTGGTACTGGTAAAGGGATGTACAATCCCGCATTCTGCCCTCAGATTTTGGCTATATGGTATATCGTACACTGTCGGACGTGTATCTCTACATCTCTTATCAATCGGGGCTGCTGAGTGAAGTCAAGGGATCCTGTGGCTTTTTGAAGGACACAGAAGGGTACGACTATGACTGGGATGGCGCAGGAGGGTGAACCCAGGTGCGGTAAGAGGGACAGTGACTGCTGGGAGGATAATATGGTGGGGGTATTCACCACCTTAGGCGGGGGTAATCACCACCTTAGGCGGGGGTAATCACCACCTTAGGCGGGGGTAATCACCACTGACAGTGAGATATGGTGGGGGTAATCACCACCTTAGGCGAGGTATAGCTAAAGCACCACTTGTAGCTGGATACAACCCTCAAAAGGGAGACTACGTAGAGGCAAATCTGAAACCATAAATCAACACCAAAGAAAATTGATTAGACTTCGGAGTAGAGTCAATGACGCCCCAAGCCTTAGTCACCTGTTGATGATAAATGATGCGAGGAATTTGAACCAAGTGGTGTATCGGTTTTTTAGTTTGTTATGTCTATTGAGGAGTTTCAGTTCTTCATGATTTGTAAATAATGTGAACTCTCTTGTCAGTAGATAATAACTCCAGTGTTATTGGGTTTTGACGATGACATAAAATTCGTTGTGTAGGTTGAATATCTCATTCGTCCAATAGTTTGCATAATCATGTCTGACACCTTGAATACTACACATTCCAAGAGAAAAGTGTATACCCCGATAATGGGCTCAATTCTGCAAACTAAGAGATTTCTAACATCCATTTGGTCTGCGAACCTTTTATATATGACCGACAAATTTCTCTATTTAATACAAAGATTAAATAGGGTTTATTTTACCTGGGTTCCAAATTCCCTATAGAGGCAAACCCCTATAGTTAATTACATGCCAAGTGACGGGAATCACTTGAGAAAACTCTCGATAATGATCAGTGGTTCTAGTCTTCAAGAATTCAAAGTTTAGGTTTTCAAGGTAGGACGTGACAATGAAAAAACATGTGGGAATAACTCAAGTAAGAACAATCCTTTCAGGAGTCCAAAAGAGTAAAAGGTAGGGGATGTCACAGATTCAGATGAGAATCCTCAATGACCTCTCAAACTATCCTACTGTGTGACTGTGTTTTAGAGGATTTTATTTGAATGTTAAATCCTGTCAATTTTATTAGTTGGGACTTATACCTGCATAATAACTAGTTATGCAAATAGCCCACAAATATAAGAGGTTTTGCGTCATTCTAGATGACAACCTTAGAACCTAAGGCGAATTAGGATTTATGCTGTGCAGGAGCCTAAAAGAGGGAGGAATTATGTCGCGCTAGGAGAGCTACCTCGAAATCTTATGGGTTGTTTAAACTAGGAAAGTTCAGTTGGTGTAGACTCATTTTGCTGTTGTAGAATTGCGACCACCTCCACCTGTAATTCGCTCCAAACTCTTTGTTGTGCTGCCCACGAAGTTGCTCCGAGTGCTTTGTCGCAGTAACAGTCATAAAGTCTAAAGCTCAAATAGTTTTATCAGGTGTGTTTCAATGTCTCAGTTTGGTTGTCAATGGGGGGTTTAAGTTGATTAGAGCGACACCGGTTAGGATCCCACGGTCCCCTCCTTCCGGTATCACTATTTTCTTTTGAACTTACTTAGTTTAAACGAGTTGTGAAACTCATTTAAACCGGGGAGATCTCGTTAGCAACCGTGGGTTACCTCCTCCGAGGAACTCCCGTAAGTTCGAAAGAACGTATTATGTTTTTTTTTTTTAAAATGTTGTTTAATTTTAAAAAAAAAGTTTCGTTTTGAAAGTGAGGTTGTATTCAGTGCCTGCATAATGTGTTAGAGCAAGAGTAATTGCAATAAAGAAACAACAACAAATAAAATGTACCTGCATATGTGGCGTATATGTTGCTGCTATTCCTGTTGCATGTTTAACTCACAAAGCACCATATAATTTGCAGAGAATTTAAATAAATTGCAGAGAAAAGAAGAAAGCAGTAAACAGTATAACAAGTTGTAGTAACGGTTAGGAATTCCCAAAAGAGATGATCCTAAGGCTTCTTACAACCTCTGACTGCAACTAGCGAGCTAGTATGGTGATTCTACGATCTCCTACGACTCCGGTAAGCAATTAGCGAATGTGTACGGTGACCCTACGACTCCAAACAACAGCTAGGAATTTTGAATAACACTTGTATGAGTTCCTATTAACCCAAACAACAATGGGCAGCACCTATGCGGCTTCCTACGAATCCGAACAGAGGTAGGCCAGAGAGGTAGGCAGCAACTAGATGGCTTCCAAATAAAACCCAAATCGTGGTAGACATCTCCTACGTGGCTTCCTACGAACCCAAATCGTGGTAGACGACTACTAGGTGGCTTCCTACGAACCCAGAAAGTGGTAGACAACAACTACACGGCTTC